CTGCTGCATTCGAGGCTTTTGGGAACCATCAGCTCTGTGTCCCCTCACTCCCCTGGTGACTGGTTCACAATCTCAGGTGGCCTCAGATACCTGAGATGCCTCTGTCCACTGCCCTCCCGGCCCTCGGGGTCACAGTCTCTCCATCTCCCTGCGAACCCCAGTCTTGGCTTGTCCTGGGACCCATGAAGTGCAGAGAGTGCTGACTGTCTCCTGGGCCCATTGAACTGGAAAGGTATTTGCCCCACCTCCTTGGACCTTTGGTACTCCTTGACAGCGTGGCTCAGGGGGAGGAGACCCACGTGGGTGCGTTGGGTCCAATCGTTGGGGACTCATGAGGCATTTGCTGAACGTCTTCTTTGAGCCCCCCCCTCCCCCCCGCTGGGCCACTGTGAGGCTAGCGGCGTCTAAAACACAGGCAGTGTCCTCATGGATGGCCCTGTGTCTCTGACACAACCAGGAAAGGAAATTGCACTGATTAATTGGGCAGCCAGTTACCAGATTCTATGCACGAGTATTTAATCTAAGCCCTAATGGTACCTGCTGGAAGCAGGATTATTATGCCCATTTTACAGATGAGCAAACTGTGGCTACGAGGGCAGAGAACTTGCTGGGGATCACAGCCGATAGAGGACGACACCCCAGTCTGCCCTCAGCCTTCCTTCTTGCTCCTGGCTACCTTTGACTTGTCTGACTTTGGTTTTCTCTGAATTCCTTTTGAGAGGGAAGTGAGGAAGGAAGAAGTAGGGATAGAAACCAGTGTGGCAGCTGGTGGGGTGACTTGGAGCCAGTTTTGGGCACTGAGTGGGGTTTTAGTGGAAGGAGCCCTGTCCTGACCTAATCCCATGTGTGGAGGGGACTCCATCTGCGCTTCTTGGAGACAGGGCTGACCTTACCTCCTCACCCGCCACCCTGCATGGTGGAGTGGGGGGCCCGGGGATTGAATGTTGGGCTCCCACCCACAGGGTGAGGGCGACCTGGCCCTGTCACCCCGTTGGCTAACTGATGGCCTTGTCCCTTTTCAGTCTGACATTCTGCACTGGGACGTCCCAGGAGGCAGTGGAGAAGGGCATGGGCTGGCATCCACTGCTTGGCCTCAAGCCCAGCAAGAGAACTTGCTGAGCCAAGAGGGACCTCGTGTTGCTGGGGGCTGACCCCTGGGCGTGGGCTGCAAGGGGTGCCTGGCTGGGGCAGTGGTGGGGGCCTCAGCCAGAGCAACCCACACCAGGTCACCTCCCAGCTGTCCCTCCCTCCTGGTGAAGGAGATCAGTGTTGTCTGTAAGGCTGTGTCCACTGCAGGAACCACTTCTTTCAGTGAGCCTCAGTCTTGGGGTGGTGAATTTGAAGCCCAGAGAGGAAACTTGTGGAGGGAGAACGTGGCAGAGAAGTAAGGGTGAGTGTCAGAGGCCCCTCCTCTTGGCCACACCGATGGTGCCGTCTCAGAACAGGGGTGACACTGAGTGACACTGAAGTCACTCAGGCCCCTGGGACTTCAGCCTCTCCCTCCCTGGTGAAGCTGCAGGGTGTGTGTATGCGGGATGTGTGTGCATGCACACCGATTAAATAAGAACTGCATCGGGCAGGTACTCTCTGGGTTTACACCAGCGACTGCCCTCCATCAGTAATTCCTACCCAGGGGCGGTTTTACCCCCAGAGCACATTTGGCCAAGCCCACAGACAGTTCCTGTCCTGCAGTGGGGCGGGGAGGGTGGTGGCTGCTATTGGCACCAGTGGGCTGAGGTCAGGGGGCCGCTGACCCTCCTCCAGCGTCACACCAGCCTCGGTTACAAGGAGTCACCTACCCTGGTGTGAGCAGTTTGAGGTGGGGAGCTGTGCCCTGGAGGTACAGTGATCGTGGGAGCCACCTCTGCCCCACCCTCCAGGAGAGTGTGGCCTCATCGGGGGACGGGGCAGTTCTGACTGGCCTGATGAGGGGCAGGTGCTGGGGGAGGCCAGGGGCTGTGGGCTCCATGGGGCAGGAGTGGGTCTGTTCGTTCATGGCCATGTCCCCTACGTGTCACATGGCAGGACTGGTCCACAAAGCTGTTATTGGTACTTCACTCAGTGCTGGGCACCTGGGAACCTAGTACAGGAAGCCGCCTCTGAATAAATCACTGTTTCAAACTGAGCTTCCTAAACCCAGACAGTCTTTGAGGATAGGTCTTGTCTCGTGGGGTAGGGGGCACGTGGTGGGGAGGGGGAGCCCCAGGGGCTACTAGGGGTGTCAAGCCCTTTCCCTGGCTTTTATCCAAAGCATGCCAGCTTCCTCCCACCTTGTCTGGGGAATCTGTTTTTCTCTATTGAACGACATTATAAGATTTTCTTTAGACAGACAACTTGGAGAATCAAAGTTTGCAGAGTTCTCTGGCCAGCCAACAGAGAGAGAAGGGTGGGCCCTCACCTGGCCCAGGTCGGCTGGATGGGGCAGCCAGCTGTCTTCCTGCGCATCACCACCGGGGGGCGTGGAGGGGCCCAAGGGTTGCGCTCTGCAGCCCCAGTTTGAGCAGCGTTGCTCACGGCGGGCACTGGCCTAGACAGGGGGCTGGGCCCAGCTCTCCCTACCAGGGCATTTGCTCTTCTAACTAACTGCAGGCTGCCCCAGGCCTGCAGCCCCCTGCCCCCAGGGACAAAGGGTACAGAAGCGTCCTCTGCTGTGTTCAGTCTCCCTGCAGGTTCCCGAGTCCCAGGGCGCTTACTGGGTGCTCCCTGGTGTAGACCGGGGTGTCTGGGCCTCAGCACTGTTGAGGTGGGGACGGGTAATCCTGCTGTAAGATGATTGGCTGACTATCCGCGTCCTTGGTCTCCGCCCACTAGGCCTGTAGCCTATGCCTATCACAGTCATGACCACGGACAAGGTCCCCAGACCTGACTTCTGGGTGGGGCCAGAATCGCCCCTCCTTCTCGTGAACACTGTAATGGTTTCTCAGCGGCCTCATCTCTGAGCCCCCTCAGAAGCCCGAGCCTGAGCAGGGCTCCCTGCGGTCCAGCTAGCTCCCACATTCAGCGATTCTCAGGTATTCGAGGGACACGGCCAGTTTTCAGCCTCTGCCTCAGTGGTCAGGGAAGCTGGGCTCTAGGAATGGAAAGAAGGTCTGGGGCAGAGAGACCTCACCAAAGACGTCTGGGGCATCGTGAAGGCCAGAACCGAGCCCTCTCCTGTTCTGAAGGGCGATGAGGACCCTAGTGGGGACTGGCAGTCCAAGGTGATCTCAGTGCCTGAAAGTCAAGGAGAACTGACCACACCGGCTGAACAGTGGGCTTGAGTCCTTGCTACACAGACCTGCTTCCACGCACATGAGTCTTGTGGGTTGTGACCATTCAGGAGTGAGTTTAAGTACAAACCTTGCTAGTAAACTGCGTAACTGTTCACGTATTCAGCAAGTGAGTCGTGTCCTGACTTCGCACCTGGTGTGTCGCTAGGAGCTACAGGTGGTAAGACGGGTGGTCTGCGTGTCCTGGGAACCCACAGGTGGGGCTGAAGAAGGCCGGCTCCAGTCCACCCAGGGGACAGAGGCAGACCACTCTCTCACCCTGGGTCCTGAGAGGAGAAGTCCTCTCACCCTCAGCAGGATGGGTGGCATTGCCTGGGCTTCTGGAAGGCTCCCCAGGCAGTGTAGGCGAGGTGTCCCTCGGGCCAGGGCCACGAACATGCTGAATTAGCAAGGCCAGCTGACCTCGGCTTTTCATGCCTCCGGACTCCGAGCTGGCCACCGCCCAGGAATGCTCACAAATATAAAACTGACTTTGTTTTCAGAATGTTCTGGAGCTCCAAAGGCCACATAAAGGCATTTTTGTGGGGCTGGTTATCTACCAGGGCAGATCTTACTGGGGCCCCAGACCAGAGCATCCCCAGGGATCTGCCCCCGGAATGCCATGTGTCAGCACCGGGGCGGAGGGGGGTGGCCCAGGCTCTGTTGCCACCTGCTCTCCGAGAGGTGTCTCCCAAAGAGGATTCTTGTGGGTTTCAGCAGCCGGTCTTTGGACTGGTCCACCTGGGCTGGGATTCTGCCCTAGGGCAAAGCAATGTGGCGGCCTCGGTCAGGCTCGTTTTCAGCCGGTTTCCCGATTCAGGGTTGCAAAGGTCTGGATCTGTGATCTGGAGGCGCAGGGAGCCCGACTCCTTCTGTCGCTTCCTCCTTCTGCCTGTCCTCTGGCCCTGCCTGCCCTCACCCTGGGTCCTTCATGCCTCACCAAGTACTGGCGGGTACTTAGTGCTCCTGGTTTGACTTGCCGTCTGTAGGAATAAACGTCTGTCTCTCCCGCTCCTGGATCAAGCTCCCAGAGGGGACTCATCAGTACCTGTTGCCACTGAGCCTTGCTCCCCGGAGGGTGGGCAATGCCGCGTCCCGCCATCTGGAACTCTGTTCACGCTAGCTCTGAGCTGTCGTCTCCGGGTCCTTCTGCTCCTGCCTGTGTCGGCGCCGGTGGGGGCCTCCTCTGGCCCCCACCCTGCGCTGCTGCCCCGGCTTCTGTGCTTTGAAAATCCTCCTTACCATCAAGCCCAGCAGGGCCCTCCCCTCCGGAACCTTGCCCCCCCAGCACGTGGCCAGGAGCCCTGCACGGAGGTGGGCGTGTGGCGTCCTGTGGCCACCCCTCTGTTACGGATCCTTTGAGGGAGAGAGGATGAAGTTCGTGCCTCCTCTGACCTTCTGTCCCCTTTGGTTGTCAAGCCGGGGCTGCCTGACTTTGGGATCTGTGATGCAGGGCTCCTTCCAAAACGTGGTGAAAAATGTCCCGGTGTCGGGTGGGCCAGGACTGGATGTGGGGACCTGGTTTCAAGTTGGTCCATCTGTTTCACGGAAAGGCAGTTGCGTCCGTCAGTGAGCCTCGGCTTCCTGGCGGCAAGGCTGGGCCGGCACCTCCGGTGCGAGGGCCCCTTAACCAGGAGTGGATGACACGGGAGCTGAGAGCTGCTGGGCAGGTGTTCTGGCCTCAGCCTCCCTTCCCTCCAGAAACATCTCTCAGCAAGAAGTGCTAACCTCCTGGCCTTTGTCCCCTCACAGGCAGGTGACAGCAGGGACATGTCTCGGGAGCTGCAGGACGTGGACCTTGCCGAGGTGAAGCCTCTGGTGGAGAAAGGGGAGGTGAGTAGATATGTTCCTGGTTACTCCCTGTTCACATGCACACACACGTACACATGTGTGTGTACAATGTGAACACGCACACACACACTGCTTCCTTGTTTCCACAAGTCCCCTTGACCAGGAATGCAAAGGGACAAGATGTACCTGTTCAAGTCCCAGCTTGGCCACTCAGTGCTGTGACAGTGTGGGCCGGGTCCCCGCCCACCCTGCGGGGTTTTCTGTGCACAGCTCGCTGATCCCATTTGCAAAGTAAGGCCACTGAACCAGCGTTCTTCTAAGCACCCCCTACCCCTAACACCCTGTGATTCTAGAACATGCAGCAGGAAGCCCACTGTCCAGAGGTCCTGGCTACCCTGTAGCTTAGAGGTTAAGGTCCTGTGCACACTCTGGGACCAGACGGCCTGGGTTCAGATCCTGGCTGTGACACTCAGCAGCTTTGTGTCCACCAGAGGCAAATCCTTCAACCTCTTCATGCTCCAGTCCCCCAACTTGAAAACAGTGACGCTAGGACTTATGTCACAGGCCACAGTGAGGATGGAGTATGTGGTTGATATGGAGCAGTGAGAACCCCGTCTGGCATGGAGGAGATGAGCCGCGCCGTGGGCTCTGGTTGCTGCAGTTATTATCGTCTTTTCGGTCAAACCTTTCACCGCAGCCAGGCCTCCCTGTCGGACAGCAGCCCCTCCCCTGCGGCCTGAGCAGGCACGATCTATCCTGGACTGGCTGTAATGACGATGGCTGCCACCACAGGCCTTTACATTTGCTGTAAAGGTGACATTGTATTTTTAAACTACGTTCACATCCCAATTCTTACTGAGCCTCAAAACGGCCTGTGTGACGCAGCTTTTTAAAAATGGAAAGCTCAGGCTCAGACGTGAAGACATTCTAAGGTCAACTGGTGTTTTCAAAAATAATACTCGACGTGTGTGACCCCGAACGTCCTGCTTGGCTCTCTCTGGGCAGCCGCAGCCAGGGGTCCTCTCGGGCTGCCTGGCCGGGTGACTCTGTGGTTGGGTGTACACCGGGTTCCGTGGTTGTCCCCATTTTACAGAAGAGGCAGTTGAGCCCCGTGGGGGCTCATTGGGTCACACAGTTACAATGGGTGGGGCGTGCAGCCAAAGCCGGGCCAGCTGCCTTGGTGAATGGACGGTTCACGGAGTTTCTCTGTGACTCTGAGTGTGGCTGCCTTGTTCTAGGTCTGTGTCATAGACTCTCCATTCTGTGTTTTACAGACACAGGAACTGACCTCTGACAGGAGGGGTTACCTGGACAGGCAGCACACTGGGCCTAGAAGCCCGGGGAAGCTGCAGAATGCTTCCGATGATTCTACATTTGGGGTCTGCAAATACCTGCTGTAAAGGGCCAGCCAGTAACTGTCTTGGGCTTTGCGGGCTGTGCTGTGTGTTGCAATGTCCAGCTTCACAATGACAGCGTGAAAACTGGGAGTGAATGGGAGCGAATGAGCTTGTTGGGTTCCAGTGAAACTTCGTCCATGCAAACGGGTGGCGGGCCACAGTTTGCTGACCCATGCTGCTGGCTGTGCGTGCCCCAAATCCAGATAGCCCTGGTGAAAGATGGAACCGGGGCTGGAAACTCAGAATTGTAGGGCCGAGGGAAATGCTTAGAGGTCCCTGCTCTCCATGTCCACCCCCGAGAGAGTGAATTTTAATCCAGATGATGGGCATCCAGCGGAAGAAATTTAAGGACAGCGACATGGTCAGGCTTGAGATTTAAAAGTGCAGCCCGTGCGTGCAGACCGGGAGACCAATACTAGGTAATTACGGTCTTGATCACAAAAGCTTGTGGTCAACTTAGACCTTCAGATCCTTTTTCACCAAGGCTGTAGTCAAAAAGGAATCCAGGTAATGTGTCTGCTTTTCTGCTGGCCTGCTCTTAGAGATGAAAAGTCTCTCTTTGTAAGGGGCTACAGAGGGAGATACAGACTCAGGGAGACTGACCAGCTCTCTTGTCTCTCCACAGACCATCACCGGCCTCCTGCAAGAGTTTGATGTTCAGGCAAGTGGAGCCCGCGGACCCCCTTTCCCCTTCCCCACCCCGTGGTCTCTCTTTCCTTCTTCCTGCCATTAGTTTGAAGTAGATCACTGTCTAGACGTTGGGGGTGATCGGAGAGAAGGAAGCTAGTTTCCCACACTTGGCTTCTTCTCCCCGGATGGAAGGTGGTTGAAGTTCTGGCCGAGGAAGCCTGTCAGTCCCGTAGAAGCAGGAGGGAGACACAGCCCCCCTTCGACACTGTGGGGTGTGGTATGTGGGGGAGGGAAATGGAGAGACCTTGGGTGTGCTGGGACCCTGGATGGGAGGGAAGAGAAGCAAAGGCTTGATGTTCTTGGCTGTGCTTGGGAAAGCAGAACCGGCCTTCTCTGTGGTGTACTGGCTCCGTCCCCGCTCCGGGTGGGCCTCAGGGCAATGGAGGAGTTGGGGGTGTTGGGGGAGGTGGGTCTTGAGTTTTGTCCAAGAACAAACTTTAAGAAGAGTGGGCTGGCCTCTCAGGAACTGGAAACCCTGGACTCTTTGTTTTCCCGAAGTCTATGTGAGCCGTGGGCGGTTTCAGGCCCTGGGGATGGGACAGGCGCCTCCATGCGGTGGGGTCGTGTGGGCTTCCCCGAGAAGGGGAGAGGAGCAAACGCAGGGAGATGCAGGCCGATATGCTCACCTGAACCTCTGTCTGCACATCGCCCAGGTACTTCACTTCCAGCCCGTCTGAGCTCTTCGTCTCCATCGTCTGTTCTTCCCTTACCCGCGCCCCCCCCCCCCAAGACAACGCCGATCTTCCTCCTGGACCTTGCGTTTCAGTGACCAGCCCACCACCCACATCCAGGGGCTGGGAGTCTTGGTGCTGTCCTTGGAGGGAGGGGGAGAGTCGGGGAGCGGTTGGAAGTGTGGGCTGTTGTGAGGAGCGGGTGTACGAGCGTCTACCTGAGCTCAGCATTCAGACACGTAGAGGTTCACCCTCTCTGGGCTCTTTGATGCAGAGCAAGTTGCTTCAGCTCCTCTCAGCCTCAGTTTCCTCATCTGTGAAGCGGGGAGAGTCACTCCAGTCTTTCGTAAGCAGCAGAGGAGAGAAGACAATGACAGGGGCCCTGATGTGATGTCGCCCACATCAGTGTTGGGTCCATAACACACCCTGTCTACTGACTCTGTTGTGAGGTTTTTTTCTCTTTTTTTTCTTTGTTTTGGCGTGTGTGTGTGTGTGGTTAAGTACACAGACGCCAAAATCTACCACGGGAGCCCTTCTTCGGCGTGGCCCTTCGGGGGCGGTCAGTGCACTCACACTGCTGGGCAGCCATCCCCGGTGTCCACCCCAGAGCTCTTCTCATCCCGGGAACCGCTCATGTCCCCGGGAGACACTAAGCCCCGGTGTCATTTCCCTCCAGCCCCAGTAGCCACCACTCTACTCTCTGTCTCTGTGGTTGTACCTGCTTTGAGTGCCTCACGGTGTGGAATGGTACGACATTCGTCTGTGATTGGCTGGCTTCACTCACAGAATGTCTTCAGGGCTCGCCCGTCCTGCGGCACAGATCAGAGCTTCCTCATCTCTAAGGCCTGCTACTCATCCATCGTGCGTAGAGACCACGTGTTGTTTATCCATTCATCTGTCGGTGGGCACTCGGGTTGCTCCCACCTTTGGCTGTTGTGAATGACGGGTGTATGATTTGAGGCCCTACTTCGAATTCTCTTGGGTATGTACCCAGAAGTGGAATTGCTGGATCGATCGTATGCTATTGTAGATTTTTAAAATCTTGATTATGGATCTGGAAGTAAGAAAACATAGTTTATATGAAGATCATCCCTCACTTGTGTGCTGTTCTTCATCATCTGCCCAGCCCGGTTCTGAGTTCCCGCCCCAGACGGGTGGTTGGTAGAGCAGAGACCAGGAGTTCTGGCCCCAACTCCCAGGACAGGCCACCTCGCAGGCTGCTCAGAGTTGGGTGGGCCAGGGCGCAGCACCCTCGGGACATCAGCAAAATGGGGACCTGAAGACCCTGGAGGGAAGCCTCAGGGAGGAGCTGGGACAGGCGGGGGACCAGCCCGGGCTGAGCCCTCTCAGTCACGCACAGCCGTCTGGGAAGCTGGGGGCACTTTTTTGACTGTGGCTCCTTTGCTTTTAATAACATAAGCCTGGCATTGTCACAGGTGCTGGGGACACAGTGGTGAGCATGACAGGCAGTGGTCCTTGTTGTCAGGAACTTGAATTCTAGACTAGGAGCTCAGCGTTAGTGAGCGTGGGGCGTGCCCCAAGCATCATTCTGAGCGTGTCACACGCTTTGCTCTCCTCATGCTTGACACGGGTCTTATACCCATTTGACAGGTGGAGAACCCGAAGTGCTGCGAGGTCACGTAACTTGGCTGAGGTCACAGGATTGGAGAGGGGTAGGGCAGGGGTGCGGGCGCAAGCGATGCGCTCGGCTGAAACCACTTTTCTGACTTCCTCCCTAGCAAGGGAAGACAGCAAAGGTACGAAAAGGAAGCGAACGTGGCAATCCAGCTACTGTAGGGACTGGGAGGATGACAGTGTTGGCTGACGCGATGGGGCGCGGCCTTAGATTGAGGGGTCAGGAAAGGCTTCTGGAGGAGGTGACATTGAACCCAGACCTGAATGCTAGATGGAGCCAGGCATGCGGCCCGAGAAGATTCGGGGCCAATCGGTGCAGGCAGAGGCAGCAGGTGCAAAGGCCTCTGGCCGGCCTGGGTGCCGAGCCAGCGCAGGTGGGACGAGGTCTTCCTGTTCACCGGCCCAGCCTTCCCAGTGAACCCCAGTAGCCCAGCTGGTCTGACCACTGAACGACGCTTTGCTGAGGCTGGTTCCAGACTCTGTGTGTAAAACTGTTACTTTGGATTTGGCCCCTGGATCTCGCTGACTCATGATATTTGTGGAAGTTCCCCCAAATTTCCAGCAGCCTCCAGCACTGTGGCTATGGAACATCGTGAGGTGTCCTTGATGACTGATGCTTTCTGTGCCCTGAGGGCTCACTGCTCCCAGGACCTGGAACAGAGAATGACAGAGCCTTGATGAAGGGTGGCAGCCAGGTCTACCAGCCCAGGGACAAAAGGACAGTCTCCTGCATGCTGTGGATGTCAGCGTCCTCTGATGAGCCAGGCTGGGGTCTGGGCGTTCCCCTGCTCCCTTGCTGAATCTTTTGGGACTTGTACCACCCTCCCTACTTTACACAAGAGGAAACTGAGGCTCTCCCCCTGCCAGCAGCTGGGAAGGGGCCCCACGGCACCCAGCTCTGTCCGGCCCTGCCCCCTCCACCACCACGGGTCACTGCAGCACTAAACCTCAAACGGTCACGCTAGGCCTCCTGGCCCAGATTTTGGCTCACCTTTGCCCTTTCTATCCGAAACACATCTGCTGAGGGAAGTAATGTGCACAGAACCCGCTGAGGATGAGCTGACCTGGGACTCAAGCGTCCACGGGCCTCCACGGGGACCTGCTCTTGTCACTCCCTGTGGCTGGTTCTCACCGCGCGTTGAAATGGCCCCATCCGGCCAGCCCCTCGGGAGTCCAGTGTGAGGAGTCCCAGCTGCGTCCCCACCGGTGTCTGTGAGCAGCGACGTTACTCCTGGCAGAGCATTCGGTGCTCTAGCGTTTGGGCTAACTCAGACAGACGCACCCTTCCTTCTCCAAAGTAGTCATGGGTGTGTGTCTGCGTGTGTGTGCGTGTGTGTGTGTAAAAACTAGAATCAAAATGCACCTCGCTGTAGCCCAGAGCTCCACAGCAGTGAGGAAGGGGTCCGATGCTGAGTTGCTGGGTGGCCCGTCTCCGGAGGCAGCCCAGTGGAGAGAGCAGACGGCCTCTCGGCCTTATCTCTCCCTGGCTGACATTACCTTAGGGTGCGCTGTTTGTCTTGGCCTGGGTGACAAGTAAGGCAAATCAACCGCGTGAGGTTCTGCCAGCTGCCGCAGGACTGAGCTTCGGGGCCCTCAGAGCACAGGGCTGGGCGGGCTGCTGGCCGGAGATGCTGCGGCCACAGGAAGGGCGCCGTGGGAGCTGGCTGTGCAGGGAAGGCCTGGCACCGGGTTCTGAGCAGTTGTGTTTGCACATCTGATGAGCGGGGTAGGTGGGAGTAGTTTGGGTTCCAGCTACTCGCTTTGGCTAGAATTCTGGTTCCCAAGAATATCCAGGCTGGCAGGTGCTTTGTGATCCAGCCCCGCCCCTTCTGCTCCAGGTGGGGAGGCTTGGTTGAAGGCCGCAGAGGGGAGGGGAAGGGAGGGAGCGAATGAATCTTTGCACGCTCTCTCACTGGCCCAGGCCTTTTTTGCCAAGGTGGGGAGGCACTACCTCCTTGGCAGATGGCAGGCCAGTTTGGAGATGTTAAGGAACTTGCCAAGGGGCACTGCGGAGGTAGCCCCACGTGTGGGCCCGTCTGCCTCTTAAATATGAAGTGAACACGAGGCCGTAACAGCTGATGTCTCCGAGCACCGACTGCGCCCCTGAACTGGGCTGACCTCTCCCCACGCCACCTGGTCTCACCCCCCAACAGCCCGAGGGGAGGAATTGCGGCTGTCTCCATTTTACAGTTGAAGAGCCAGGCCCAGAGAGGGTTAAGGGGTCGCTCAGCGATGAGATAGATGACGAGATCTGACTGGGTCTCCGAGTCTGGAGCCAAAGTCCATGTGACTAAGGGGGAGGGCGGCAGCGCCGAGTCCACTGCCCATCATTCTTCCCGAGGCCCTAGGTCGCCTCTCCTGTCGGATTTGCTGCTCCTAATTCCTTCCACCTGGATCTTTCTCTATTCAGAGGGTTTGATTTGATTTGGTTTCCATGGAATCTGTGTTTGTGTGCTCACCAGGGCTCCACTGGCAGTGAGCTGATGTTCCCACAGGGCCCTGGGGCGCTGGGGCAGGAGGGCGGTGGGAGGGTCTGCTGGAGTCTGGCTCCAGCTCTGGAGGCTGGGGGACAGCCGATCCTTGTTGGGGCACCGGGGGTGGCACTGATTTCTTTCCCCTCTCTTGGAAGCAGCTCTGCTCCCAGGGAAAATGGAAATGGTGACCTTTTCCTAATTTCTTTCTTTCCACACAGTTGCTTCTTGGTTTCATGCCCTCTGACTGAAGGTGGGCAGAACTCAGAGGCTTGGAAATCCTCCACCCACCCTTTCCCATCCTTGCCCTCCTCACCCCGCCCCCCCCCAACTTCCTGGGGAAGTCACTGGGACTGACAGCAGACCCTGTGGCAGATGGCAGTGGCGCTCATCTGGGTCAGTGCAAGATGAGGCTTTGCCTCTTCCACTCTCCTGGTGGAGCGGGGGAGGAGCGCCCCCCCCACCCAGCATCCCCATGGTGGGGACCCCATGGTGGGGTCCTCCCAGGTCTGTCCAGTCCTGGCCACCAGGCTGACCTAGTGTGGACACCCTTCTCCTGGTGAACAGGCACAGGGGACAGAAACAGGTTCAGGTCAGCGCTATGGTTGCCAGCCACGTGCCCTTGGCCAGTTGCCGGACTTCCCCGGGGACTTCGTTGTCTAACCTGAAAAATGGGGAGCATCACTGTCCCCGAGGTGTCAGCCTCAGACTCGGCACGAGGGTCTCCTCTTGCCCCGCCCTCTGCTCTGTGGGTGTCCACCCCTCTACTCTTTCTTCCCCTAAGCCAAGAAAGACGTTGCTCCGAGCTCTTTCTTCCCTGGAAAATTCCGCTCATCGGCGTGGGTCCTGCTTCACGCTGTATTCCCAGGTGGAGGCCTTGCTGCCCGCAATGGCTCATTTCCCGATTCCCAACTTCTTTTCTTTTCCTTGGCTGGAAGGAATCTGTAGACTGGGAGGGAGTAGCCACAGGTCCCGCCTCAGGTCTCCCGTGCCCAGGGCCCTGCTGCAGCCTTGGGGCTCAGGGCGTGGAGGCCCCAGGACCTCGCTGGCCCCTGGATTCTACCTGCCGTTGTGTGCCTTTGACCGCTAGGTTTTAGCCCGCTCAGCTGGCTTTTCTTTCCTGTGAAGTGGCTATCCTGGCCTTATCGTATTTTCTCAGTGAGGGGGTGGCTGGCCTTAGAGCAAACACTTCTGTGTTCCTGCCACATGCAGGAACATGACGTCTTGGTCATTCTTCATTCTTTACGTGCTCCTTACCCAATGGAAAGGATGAGGTCCCTGGCACCACCGGGCCTTCCCCTCCCCCACTGTGGGCACTGGAGAGGAGCCAGGAAGATGGTGGAGGGGTGCGTTAATTCGCAAAAACGTGGTGGTCTCGAGCCTCTGTTCTTGTGGTCTGCCTCTCCTTCCTCATGAAGCCTTGACTTAATTAATGTGTCTGATTAGCCAAATCAGCCTTCTGTGCCTTGTCCCAATGGGTGCCCTCTGCCCTCGGGCCATGCCTTGACCTGGGCTTGCTAGACTGTGGGGAGGGCGGCCCAGCACGCCGGCTGACTGGGGGCCTGTGTGAGCGTATCATCCTCTTAGAGTCCAAAGCCTTCGGTGTCTCCCTAGGGCCTGCTGAGCAAGGATCACGGAGGGAGGCAACGGCAGCAGGCCTCAGAGCTCCCCCGGGTCATTCATCCAGTGGACTTAAGCCATCGGGGCTGGCCCTGTGGCTTCAGACTAATTGTCCCTGGGACAGGTGTCCATGACAATGGCCATGGAGGGAAATCTACAATCTGCAAAACATTTCCCCGTCGTCTCTACTGCAGTTTCAGACTTGGGAGCACTTGTCTCCCTGGCCAGATGGGCTTGCTATGATCGAATTTTAGCCGAGGGGAGGAGTCTCAGAAAAGTCTGGCTGCGTGGCCAAGGGCGCACAGTGGATGTGTCATTGTCCACCATTGTTCATACAGCTCCCGAGCCAGGAGCGGCAGACCGAAGAGTGTTCGGTGCTGTTTCCACCACCTGGCAGGTGGCAAACGGTGCGGACAGTGGGGACGGGTGCCATTCCACCACTTTCCAGCACGTAGGCGGTGTAGACCACAGATCTCTCGGTGCTTCCGCTGGGCCAGAACCTGGGGGAGGCAGAGCCGGCCTTTCCCTCTGGGAACTGGCGGTCGGCGGCAGGAGGCGGCTATGAAACAGGCGTTTGTTCTCCTGAAGATGCTGCAGGCAGAGAGCAAGGGGCGGATACACGTTTGGGGAGGAGCGGCTGTTCTCTGTTCTGTGTGCTGCTTCATGGAGGTGCTGGGAGATAAAAGCCGTCTACAGTCCCGTCGATGGGGGATCTGGCCCACTGCACCCCTCTTTTGAGAGTCCCAGTGCACGCCATACACTAAAGATTTTCTTCCTTCACGCGGCTCCTGGCACAGAGTAGAAAGCATGTCAACGGGCACAGGCTTTGGACTTGGACAGTGTCGGGTTCAGACCCTGCTGCACCGTGGCAGCTGTGTGACCTGGGGAGAGTTCCTTCCCCTCTCTTGACCTCGGTCTCCTGCGGAAGGTCATTATCCAGAAGTCCCTGAGAGCCTGCTGTGAGTGGGCAGCCGGGCCAGGGCCTGAGAGGTAACAGTAAACAGCAGAGGCAGCCCCTGCCTCCTTGGACAGGTTTAGTTCTGGTTCCACAGCTGTATAGTTTTAAGGCCTCCAGAGTGACGAGTCAACATCTGTTACTCATCCCCACCCCTGGGGGACTGCTGGGGACATCCTGGATGATAGCCAGAGTTGGGTGTCCCATACCTGCCACCAAGGGGGTGCCTGGGCCACTGAGCACTGGGAATTCCCTTTCCACCAGACCCTAAGCCTGTCTCCTCTGCTCAGGAACCTGGGGCCGAGGTGGCTTTCTCTTCCTCTTACAGGTGCAGAGCTGGGGGCTCGGAGGCGGTGGGGAAGGGTGGAGCTAGGATTTGAACTCTGATGTCCCGGGCTGGTGGGGACACTGCCTGGCCTGGCCTATTTTTAGAGAGTGCCATGTGGGTCAGCTAGGGAGACAATAGAGAATGTGGTCCCCACAATGCACCATTATTCCCACAGCAGCTTCAGGGCCAGGCTGGGCCCAGCAGATGATCCGTGGCCCCCACTGGGGGCTGGGCCGTGGCTCCCAGTTCTGGATTTCTCCAGTGCTTGTGTAGGCGGGAGGGAGGGCATTGGGGAGACAGGCGGCTTCGTGTTCAGGGGACTTCCTTCCTTCCTTCCTTCCTTCCTTCCTTCCTTCCTTCCTTCCTTCTCCCCCTCCCTCCCCCCTTTTTTTCTGAGTCTTGTCTGTCAGATCGACAACCACGGTTTCCAAAGAATGGGGAGTCAACTTGGTCTGACGCCACAGCCCCGCCGTGGTTTAAATCCTCTTTCTCTCCATTGGCTTCTGCTGCCCCTGTCCTGCCCGAGTCCAGGACAGGGTTCTCTGGCAGAGCATTGCCGCCCATGCCCAGGGTGCTCCTGACCAAAGGAGAAGGGCACTTGGTGCTTTCTCAGCTGGAAGCACCCTGGTGTCTGCCACCCTGGTGTAAGCCACGCTGATGCTACACGGCCCACGTGACAGGCCCCTCTGTCTGCTCTCTTCCCTCAGGAGCAGGACATCGAGACTTTGCATGGCTCCATTCACGTCACCCTGTGTGGGACCCCCAAAGGGAGCCGGCCGGTCATCCTCACGTACCACGACATCGGCATGAACCGTGAGTTCCAAGGACCCCTGGTTTTCTAGTGAGCCTGTTCCCGCTGAGGGTGGTGGGGAAGAGGGAGGCTAGGAAGGGCTGGTGGCGGGGACTTTCTGGAGCTGCCCTGGGAAGAACTCTTGCCGAGTATTGGAAGAGTCTGGAATACACTGCGTGGGGGCGCAGACCTGTCTGTGTGCCTGCAGATGCTGGGAACTCGGGGAGCCCCCACCGTCTGTCTGTGTGACAATGACTGCTTTCAACTAAGGAGTACAATGGTTTTTAGTATTTTCAGAGTTGTGTAACCAGCATCACAATCAACTTGAGCGTGTCACCACCCTGAAAAAAGCCCTGTTATCTATCACCCCATTTCCCTTTCCTCCCAGCGCCTGGCAGCCAGTAGTCCACTTTCCGTCCGTCAGGGTCTGTCCGTCCCGGACGTTCTGTAGACACGGATCCCACCGTGGGGCGTCTTTCCGACGGGACCGGCCTTTCACGACGTTTTCAGTTTTCATCCGCACCGTGGGGCCTGTCAGTACTTCCTTCTCTGCTGCCGAGTGGTCTTCCATGGTGTGGAGGGACCGCTGCCCACCGTTTACCTGATGGACGGTTGGGCTGCTTCCACTTCTGGCTCTTCCAGTATCGCTGCTGTGGAAGCCGAGACTGTGAACTCTTCGGATTACTGGAAAGCGCTGCCATATGTGCGTTCCCCATTCTTCACAGATGGGAATGCAGTGAGAGCTACTCTGTGTCAAAGTCATGCCGAGTGAATCTTCCCGTGAAAATTCAGAGGCACTCAGAGGCCCAGTGATCTCTGTCAACTGGGACACAGCGAGCTGGGCGCTGGCTTGGCTCCTGATGGCCAGACCGCCCGATTTGCGTTTTTGTTCTTTCGGTTTATTAGCACCCCTGAGGCTGGAGACGATGCCAGTCACTGAAAACCATTTCTTTTCTTCACTCTCACGCTTGTTTTATCTCACTTCCTCCCCTGGGCGTCCCCGGGTCCATTATGTATCAGACGGCAGGCACTTTGACAGCAGTCAGCTTATGTCACTGACTCTGATGAGGAAATGGAATCGCAGGTGGTGGAGATGCTACCTGCCATAAAAAAGACCCCAAACCTCTGTGGCTTAACACAATATATGTTCTTTCTCACTCATTTAAGAACTCGGGCGGGGGGGCATTCTGTGTGGCTCCTTCCACGTGGTGATTCGGGGCCCCAGACTCCTGACGGCTGTGGGTCTGCCATCCCCTGGAGCCTCAGACGCTTCTGCTGGCTCCTCTGCAGCTGGCAGGTGGCTGACAGAAGAGAGAGAAACCTAGAGGACTGAGTAGCAGGTGTTTCACGGCTGAGGCAAGACTCACATGCTATTGGCCAAAACCTGAGCACGTGACTGCCTCTAACTACAAGGGAGGCTGGGAAATGTAGTCCAGCTGTGTGCCCAGGATGGAAAGAGAAATGGTTTGGTAACCAGCTGGCTGTCTTTGCTTTGGGCTGTCAACAAGTAGGAGACTCACCCATAGCCACATAACAAGTGGGAGGTCCGTGCTTTGTCTCCTGTGCTCCTCCCCATGTGAAAATCCCCTGGCCAGTGTCCCCAACAGAGGGTTTAGGAGACCCAGGGAGAGTCAGTGGAGTAGCTGCACTGGAAGTTTAAGGTCATCCACCAGTGGCTACAGTAGAGTTTATGGACCATCCCCACCTCCACATCCCTCTCTTTTCCCACGGCTCACTCCTGCCCTTTATCACCAGAGGAAAGTGGGACAGGGAATAACAGGTAGGCATTCTTTCTTATGAGTCCATTTCCTTCTGCCACATGGGAGTGCGGCAAACAAAATAGATACGCTTTGCATGGAGCCAGCTGGCTTATTCCGCCCTTACTTCCTCTTCTCCTCTCTCCCCTGCCTGATCTCCAGACAAAACCTGCTACAATCCCCTCTTCAACTCCGAGGACATGCAGGAGATCACCCAGCACTTTGCCGTCTGCCACGTGGACGCCCCTGGTCAGCAGGACGGCGCTGCCTCCTTCCCCATGGGGTGAGAGGGGGAACTCGTGCCCCAGGAGAGGGGTAGGGAAGCCTTGCAGGGTGGAAGCAGGTAGTGGGGGGAGGTGTTAGCCTGGCTTTTAATTTTATTATTGTGGTAAAATATAATACGCTTCTGTGAAGCCAAGTCTGTGATAGAACCCCTCAGCCTTGGTGATATTTATAATCTTTATATGGAGGGAGAGCATAGTAGCCTCACTGGGTTGTTGCAAAAATTAAATGAGTTTACAGTGCTCATCAGATGCCTGGGGCGGGATCTGGTTGGCGCACAGGAAGCAATCGGTAAAGGGCTGTTTTACAAAGAGAAAGCAGAGGATTAGGGATGGAGACATCCTTGCCTAAACAGGGCAGGTCGTGCTCACCTGGGCCCTTGCAGTGAGCACTACCTGGCACATGATGGGGAGTCTGGGCGCACAGGGCAGGTCACCCCATGGTCCCTCCCCTTCAAACCTGTTCCTGTGGCATGGTTCCTTCCCACCGGGGGTCCCGGCCCTCACTGACTCCTCGTATGGCTTCTCCCAAGGTACATGTACCCTTCCATGGATCAGCTGGCCGAGATGCTCCCTGGAGTGCTCCACCAGTTTGGGTAAGCACGAGGGGCCGCTCCCCCACCGGCCTGCAGAGAGAGGCGGCTTCTAGCGTCTGCCTTTCCTTTGGCCTCGATCTGACCTGACCACTGACATTTAGGTTGGAGTTTGAAGCTCAGGGAAGAAATTCCCTCAGCTCTCTGGCACTCAGCGTTTCCTTTTACTCTCTTTCCTGCAGCCCACTTCTTGTAAGTTGGGCTCTTCTCTCTGAGTGATGACGTCACCTAATGACAGCACCCCACTCTCCTCCCCCTGCCCCCCTTCTCTAACCCTTCTCTGCCTTCTCTTCTTTCCTTGCTTTGTTTTTCCGATGGAACATTCTGGACTAGGATGGCCTGATCCCTCAACTCTTCTCTCTCCAGGCCCTTCTTCCAAGGCTCATTTTCTTCTTATTTGAGTCTTTTGTGTGAGGATGACACCTCGGACTTCTTGCCCAGTCTATTTTCCTGCCAAGTTTTAGAATCCAAAAAACAGCTCAGGAGCGGGAAGGAGCGGTGACGGGCCTTCCCGTAAATGTCAGACGGTCTCCGAGTGCCCGGGGTTCAGTCAGATGGGAAGTGAGGGAAGGGGACGAGTCCCTCCAAGGTCATGGCCTTCTGTTAATCCATAAAGCAGGATGCGTTTCAGGTCACAAAGGCACAGGACGGCAGCGTGTCCCCACTCTGCCTCGCCTGCCAGCCATCCTCAGCAGTGACCAGGACAGACACTGGGGTGGACGAGGTCCCCTGGGGCTGAGGAGTGGGGGCCAGGGTTGGAGGGTGGTTAGGGCACACCCACCTCTTCCGTGATGTGAGTTTTTATTTCTGCTTCTCAGGCTGAAAAGCGTCATCGGCATGGGAACTGGGGCCGGGGCCTACGTCCTCACTCGATTTGCTGTGAGTCTTGGGCTTTTTTTATAAATTACGTTTTATTTATTTTCTTTTATTTTTAATTTAATTTATTTATTTTTAGAGAAAGGAGAAGGGAGGGAGAAAAAGAGAGAAACATCGATGTGTGGTTGCCTCTTGCACGTCCCCTACTGGTGACCTGGCCTGCAACCCAGGCATGTACCCTGACTGGGGATCGAACCAGCGACCCTTTGGTTCTCAGGCCTGTGCTCAATCCACTGAGCTACACCAGCCAGGGCGAAAAATTACATTTTAAATGAAATTAATTCAAGACAAAGGAAGGGAATTGGAAAAGCATCAAGAATCCCAAAAGGAAAAGGAAATGAATGACCCGCTCTCCCATTTCCCAAGGGAGGACCGCAGTTGACGTTGTGGTGTGTGGTCTGGAGGTGTGTGTGTGTGTGTGTCGCTTACACACTGACTGCTTTTCTTTTCCCTTCACCGAGGTGTCCCACTAGACACGCTCCGCACCAGCAGCGTGACGCACTGAGCAGTCGAGTCTGGGCAGGCCCTCGTGTCCCTGAGTGTCCTACTGTGCCGCTTCTGTGTGACAGCTTTTGTACTTAAGGGACTCTTGGATCCTGGCTAATTCTAAACTAGAATCAGAGCCACCTGTGTTAACATGACAGTTGTCACTTATGCTACTGTGGACCCAAGACAGGGCTGCTGGGCCCCTGTAGCCAGTAGCCATTGTTTAAAAATGCAACGGTGCTCATTTTATTTGACCAGAGGTGCTGACCACTTGTCATGCGTGGACTTTGCTAGAGAGTAGAAACGCTGACACAGGTACGACGTGGCCTGACTATCTGGGTCGGAACTGTATCGTGTATACACACGTGTATGTATATGAGATACACATATTCTGGTAAAAGTAACAGAATTCTCACTGATGGCTAAAGAGCCTTTCTGAGCCTGTCTGATCGCGAGGTTGAACGTGTGACATGCCCATTTCACAGCTAAGGCAGCCGAGGGGCACCGAGGTGACGTGACTTGTCCAAGGCAGGCCCTCGGAGCACATGCGTGTCTGCATCTTGTGTGGCTTCTTCTGCACGCCCCCTCGGGGGCCCCATGAAGTGTTCCCTGAGCTGAGACCTCAGTTCTGTGTAGGGTGGGGGCTGGAGACTCTCAAGAGAGTCCAGCCACTCTGGTGGCCCCCACAAGCCCTTTCCTGGCCCTTCTCTCCACCTCTGGTTTGACTTAAAGTTCATAGCATCTCAGATTGCTGGCTTGTGTCCCTCACCTCGCATCTTGAATTGCAGCTGAACAACCCCGAGATGGTGGAGGGTCTGGTCCTCATCAACGTGAACCCTTGTGCAGAGGGCTGGATGGACTGGGCGGCCTCCAAGGTAAGTCTGGGGGCCTGGGCTGGCGGGACCCCAAAGCAAAGGGGTATCCTTGCCTCTACAACCAGGAGACCCCCCCAGTTGCACCCTTTCACCAGCCCCATCTCTCCTCCCTCGGCCCCGAAAGCAGGTTTCCTCTGCTTTGCTTGGAGTAGCACACTGGCCTCAGATAGCTATCATTTGGATACCCACAGGACACTGCTGGGTAAGCCAGCAAGGCCAGGGTCCCCGAGCCAGCTTGGACAAGCACTGTGGGCAGAAGTACTCGCCGGGGACCGTGTGTCTGCAGGGCTTTTCTCAGGACGCTGAGAATAAAAAGATGAATAGGACAAATTCCTCCAACCCCAGGCACCCATGTGTCATTGATGCAAAAGAAGTGTGTAGTTGGTAGACACCATGCTGCTTAGTTTTATGACAGCAGTAATCAGCTCACGTGTATGGAATGGTTACCAGCGGCTGTTTGTGCTCTTCGTGGCTGTGTGTGTGCAAAGCCTTATTCACCCTTTGTGGACTACCCTGTGGGAGTAGGAGTTGTCATACCACGTGCGGGGGGGGACGGTGAGCGAGGTGGTTAAGGAAGCTGTCCAGGGCTACACACACTGGGCGGAAGGAGAGTTGGGGCGGGATGCAGACAGAGCCCTGGACCCGCGGCCCTCGGCCTCCCCTCTGTGCTGTGCTCACGGGCCCTTGTGCTGCCTGCGTCAAAGGCCCCCCGACCCAAGTCCTGCAGGCTGGGCATGGCAGGGGCAGGGGGCAGGACATGCCCCTTCCTGGAACATGGGACCCACATTATCTCGGGAAGCTCTACTCTAGTTGGTGGTCTAGGGTTCCTTGTTTACTGAAAATGATCATCGTTTTTTCATAAAAGCCCCACTATTTGCCAAAGAGACAGGAAAAACATTCCAGTTGAAACAGGGCAGAGCCTTCCACTGGGGCCGTCCTGGGGTGTGTTTGTGCCAAGGCTAGGGTGGTGGCTGTCGGAACAGGAGGGTCAGAGGGGTCATGCCCCTCCCCCTTCCTCCCGCCCCTGTCTGGGCCAGCCAGTCTGATATTGCCTTTCTCCCTGGAACGTTCTGCCAGAAGGCAGGAGGGAGCCCTTCCCTCCGGTCTGCGTGACATTCGGGAGTGGAACACACTCCCTGTTTTTTATTTTATTTTCCAGCCAAGGAAGTGACATTCCAGGCAGCCAGTTTGGCTCCTCAGTAGCTGCTCTGAGCCAGACGTGGAGAGCTGGGGGCATCAGCCATGGGCTGAAGTGCAGCCTGGGGGGCGGTGTGCGGTTTTAATACCGGCACCATATCCTTCCTCTCTGACCCCCGCCCTGGAGGAAAAAGACCTACATCAAGGGTCTGCTGTGGGTCAGGCACTGGGGTCCGAGCCTGTGACGTGTGGAGCTGCTCCCATAATCCTCACCGTGACCTGTGACTTGGCAGTTCCTGCCACCCCCAGCTGCGGACGAGCAGTCTGAGGCCCAGAGGCTTTGCAGCCTTCCCTGGGCACCCAGCTGGGGACCCCCTAGGCCCTGCGCGATGCGGCAGGTAGTCGGCACACGTTTATGGAGCTCCTGCTGTGTGTCTAATAGTTATGGAGCTCTTGCTGTGTAGCTAACATTTATGGAGCTCCTGCTGTATACCTAACCCAGCATTGTTGTTAGAGGTAAAAAGCGGAAAGTCATTTGTTTCTTTAATAAGCTCAGTTTATTCGGAGAGAGGGAGGTGGCTTGAGGAGACAATCTGTAGGATCCTCAGGGAGAGCGGGTCCTGAGGTGTAGCCTCGGGCAGCTGTGCGTGCGTTTCGGAGAAATGGACGGAGTCCTGCTCGCTGATGACCAGGTGCGCCATGCAGCCGGGCAAGCTAGGAGAGTTTGTCCGTTCAGCACGCGTGTGTGCATCTGTGCCCAAGGCTCTGAGAAGAAATAGCAGATGAGACCCAGGCCCTGCCTGCCCCGGCCTCAGGTCTCGTAAGTCCCCAGAGACAGGTAACCAAGTCCCCCTCGATGGGCCACCCTCAGACTCGGGTGCTGGGCGCCCCGAGGGCCAAGGGGTTTGGCTGACCTGGTCTCACCTCCGCTAATGCCCTCTTCCTAACCCCACTGTTTCTGCCCCCCCCCAGATCTCTGGATGGACCCAAGCCCTTCCAGACATGGTGGTGTCCCACCTCTTTGGGAAGGTGAGTAGCGCCTGGCATTTGGGCTTCCCTCTGAGTGATCGTGTGCCGCCTGCCTGCAGGGCATAGACACAAACCAGACACAGCGCCGAGGCCACCAAATAATAGGACATTGTTCATATTCACCAAGTTGTCTGTTCCATTTTTAACATAAGTCTTTTTTTTAAGCCAAAGTGTAAAATCTGACAAATTCTGACCAGTTCTGAAATACTCCTCAGCCGCCCAGGGCGAGGTGGCTCGCTCTGTCTCCTCTGGGTGGCCCACTCATCACCGCCTGCTCCGGAGCAGACAGGTGTGACCACGTCCGGTCTGGCTGTGGGGCAGCCCCGGGGGCAGAGGCTCTGCTGTGGGGCTGGGGAGCTGCGGCCCCTGCCTTCAGTCCTGGGGCAGTTTCCTGTGGCTGCAGTGGCAAAGGACCACACACCGGGTGCCAGAAGACCACAGAAGTGAATCCTCTCACAGTTCCGGAGGCCGGGACCTTGGACTTGAGTGCTGGCCAGGCCACAGTCCCTGCACGGGCTCCCGGGAGGGTCCTCCTGACTTCTCCCAGCATCCGGGCCCTTGGAGTTCCTGGGCTCTGGCCGCCCACTCCAATCCCCACCCTCCTCTTTACATGGTCTCCCCTATGTCAGTTTCAAATCTCCTCCTGCCTTTTTCTAAGGACACTTGTCATTGGATTTAGGGATTCCCCCGCCCCCGGGGATAATCCAGGATGACGTCATCTCAGGGTCCTGAACTTCATCACACGCACAAAGACCTTTCCTCCCAATGAGTTAATACTCACAGGGTCCAGGGATTTAATGTGGACACATCCTGGGAGCCTCCATTCAGCCCACGACAGACCCTTTTCCTCTTTGGGCTCCGCCCCACAGCCTGGTGCCTGTCCTCCCCTCATGTGCACCGTCCTCACTGGTGGGAATGTGGGAAACCGGAACCAGTGCTGCGTCTCCTTGGAGGAGGGCCATCCCGGGGAGGGCGGGAGTCTGGCCTGGCTGCACTGTATATTACTTGGGGTCTCCAGGTGCCCCAGGTTTCTGCAGTTGCGTTTTGATCAGAAACCCCAGCACAGCCCCTCAGACTACATTTTCCTGACTTTTCTTTGAACAGCCAGTTGGACTCTTTGTGGCTTAAATGCTGATTTGATGACGTCAGGCTTGCTATCGGCCCCTTGTTCCCTCCAGCTCTGGCTCTGGCTGCCAGATCACATCAGGCTGCTTTGTGGGACCTACGGCATCTGCCGCTGTGTAGATGAGAGGCAGAGCCAGCTCCTAGTGCGTTCGTCTGAAATCACGTTCAGGAAGGGACCAGGGAGAGGAGGGCCTCTGCCAGGCTCTGGCTGGCCCCTCTAGGAAGCAAGATTGTCCTTCCTGGAAGCTTCCCGTTGCACGAGTTGGTTTTTGTTTTGCAGACAAGAAAATCTCCACCTCTCGTGGAAAAATAATAATTGCTAATAGTTGCATGGATTGTTACAATTTACAAAGGGCTTTCCAAAGCGCACAACCTCTGCTAAACCCCACAACCTGATGACGTGGGTAATATTAACACCCTCCCTGCTTCTTTTGAGAGCTCCGAGGCTCAGAGAGGTTAAGGCGCTTTCCCAAGAAAGGGGCAGCGGTGGAGTTGTGAGGAAGGGAGAAACTTTCTTTTGCCCTTAACATTCTTTGGCTGATCAAATAATTTAATAGATGCAAGACACATTGGCAAGAGAAAGTGACCAAATTTAACTACACACATACAACATATGTGTGGGAATTCCACGTGCATGAGACAGAGACAGAAAGGGAAGCTGAGGCGTATTTGACCTTCTCAGCTAAGGAGGAGGCAATGAACCTGGGGGCTCATGGGACCCTGCAGGGAGAAAACATGGCCAGTAATTAGTTTGCTGGTCACGTGGGTAGCTAAAAAGCCATTCCTGGTGATAACTTATTCTGGGCCAGGTTCCTGATTTCAGTTCTACTAGCTCACAGGTGGCAAACACAAGGCCCGTGGGCCAAATCCAGTCCTCCACCTTGTTTCCGCCTGGCAGTAGCATCGAGTTCTCGTTTAACTGTTAAGGAGCAATTACATTTACACAGTCCTGAAATTATATTCGGCCCTTTGAAGGCCACCTCGAGGCTGATGTGGGCCCCGTGACAATGAGCGTGACACCCTTGTACTAGATAGTTAAGCAACTGGGGTGTGGAGCTGACGTTACTTTCAAGCCCCAGGGTCCCAGTTGTCTTTCTCAAAATAACTTGAGTCCCACTGAGGAACATCTTGGGACTGGGGCGGCTTGTTCTGAACCCCTGCAGAGTCAGGCTCCAGAGCCAAGGAGACCGACTTCCAGCCCAAACTCCAAGCCCTGAGCCCAGAAGGGTGTGCTTTGCCCATCTAGGTTTGTGTCCCTTTATGCTACCAGCTTACGTTCACCCAGCAGCCTGCATCTCAGTGTGGCTTCCTGAGTCTCCATCGCAGTTTTGAGACTTGGGCATTGTCTCTTTCTACCTCAGCCTGGAGAGTGGAGAGGCTCATGACCGGCCCAGGGCCACAGGCTCAGTGGAGGACATTTCTCTCTCTCTAAATGCAGGAGGAAATGCAGAATAACGTGGAGGTCGTCCACACCTACCGCCAGCACATCATGAACGACATGAACCCCGGCAACCTGCACCTGTTCATCAATGCCTACAACAGGTATCGGATGCTGCACGGCCCTTCTTACCAGGCTCCCTTCGTGGGCCTGGGTTGTGGGGTGAGGCAGAGGGGGATTGTAATATTAGTAGAAGCAGCAGCCCCTGAATTTGAGCAAATAGATGATCAGGACGAGGTGCCCTCAGCAAGGTGCTTCCTGGAGTTTGGAGCACTTTGCAAGGAGCCGAGCTACCATTCTAGACCACGGGGCATGCAAACACAGGTGGGCCTCGGTCATGCCTTCAGAGGGTTGGGAGCACATGCCTGTGACCATGGTGACCATAGGAAAGGACAGGTGAGAGGGGAGCTGAGAGAGAAGCAAAGCACTGGGGGTGGGAGGAGCCCAGGCAGGCCGCCGGGCGGTGGGTGAGTCATTCCCAGGATGGCGGACACCTGCGCACAGCCTTTGGCAAGGCTGCAGCCCTCTGTTCCATAACCAGGCGCCTGTCTGGAGCTCAGCTAGGGGAGGAGACAGCTTGGGGCCACTGGTGCCAGCCAGAAGTTCTGGAATCTCCAGGGAGATTCCACGCAGCCTGCTGAGCCAGCTCTGCCCTGCCCCCACCAATGGGGCCCAAAATGAGTTCCCGAGCTCTGTCTCTCCATCCTCCCGTGCTAGCAACGTGACTTCACGATGTGCCTTAGAGGCCGTAAGGAAGTCCAGTGTCCGCTTCTCCCCCCACCCTCCGAGGCACTCAGGGCAGGAGGGAGCAGCACTGTATGCCCAGTGTGTGAGTGGAGACAGGGAGGCTGAGCGGTCTCTTCATTCAGCAAATGCTTCCTGAGAACTGGAGCGGGTCAGGCTGTCAGCTGGGCAGGGGGCACACGGAGGGGACCATGGAGAGCCCAGGACTTGGAGTTGGGGGTGAGAGTGAGGCTCAGATTAAGGGTGGAAGCAGAGACTGATTGGGGGGCTAGCCACTGGTCAGGTGGAGGCTCCAGGAAGGCAGGGACCCTCTGTGGCGGAAGACATGATGTATACGCGTATGAAAAGAAGATGTTGGGGCCCATGGTGTGGGCTCTAGGGGACATGTCCCCGAAACCACTTCTATGGACCCCAGGAGGCTGTGGTGTCCCAAAAGCCACATGACCTCACACAGGCTGTCCAGTGGGTGGCTTGCCAACAGCAGGACCTCCAGGGCTTGGCTCAGGGGGAGGGGCTTCCTCCTGGGGCAGGTCTGCTGATGCCATCGATGGTGACTTTGTCTTCTGTAGCCGGCGGGACCTGGACATTGAGCGACCCATGCCCGGAGTGCACACGGTCACCCTGCAGTGAGTTGCTCCTCTCCCCCCTCACCATCTGGTCAGCTCAGCTCCCAGTTCCTGGCAGGGTCTGCTCTTCCGGTTTGGCAGGACATGGTGACCAGTGAGACTAACCCAGGCCATGGCACGACCCCGTCTCACTTGTCTTCCCCTGTGTAGGAGCTGAGCTCCCAGGGTGGCTCCCAGACCTAGGTCGGAGCCTTGGACCATAGATGAGTTCTGACCACACTTTGGATGGAACTTATTGAGCACCTACTTTGCATTGAATACTGTGTTAGCTTTGCCTCATAGCCTGGGGGTGACTGAGGCACAGAATGCCACCCCCCCAAAGTGGCCTATTAAATTAGTGGGGAAAGGCAGGTTTGGAAACAGGCACCTGTGTTCCACTAGCAGCAATGGTGCCAGTTTTTGGTTCCTTGAGTGAACCACATTATTGGAACCTGAACTTGGCACATGCCATCTCCTGTGTCAGCCATGTCCTTTTTGTCTCTGATCTTGATTGCTGACAAACACCCTACTCATCCTTCCTCGATGGGAGGGTGTTTCAAATAAAAAACATCAGGGTATAGAAATTCTCTGGTGAAATTCATACTAAAGTGTAAATGCTTACCTACCTATTTTATTCTAAGAACGAAGCAGAGGGTGGAGGGAAGATGGAGGAAAGAGCAAAAAGTACTGGGGAAACCAAAATAATTTTTTTAGAACCTTGGCAGGCCTGGGAGCATGAGAAGCTTAAAAATAAACTTTATGTTAATCCCCCTTTTCTCCCCGCCCCCAGGTGTCCTTCTCTCCTGGTGGTTGGGGACAGTTCTCCTGCTGTGGACGCTGTGGTATGTGGAAACTAGCCCCTGGCCCTGTGCCTAATTCAGCAGCCCAGATCCGACTGGCTTATACGTCTCCCTGCCTCCTTCCTTCCTTTCCTCTGTCCTCCTGAGGGCAGGTGACATCTTCTAAATACCATATTGGCCTTCGGGCAGGGGGCCCGGCCACCCGCCTCTTTCCTGGTGACTGTCAGCCCTGGTGGCTGGCAGCGGACCCTCTGTCTCCTCTCCCAAGCCCCCTCACCTGCCAGTCTGCCTTCTGTTGGCTTGTTTGTATGAGCGTGTTTTCCACTTGGCTTCCTGGCCAAGAGACGTCCCTGCCATTTGGGAGACCTCGGTGGTGCCCAATTGTCTGACAGGACAAGGGGCACTGGGGAGCTTGGCTTAAGCAAGGCTCTCTGGCTCATTTCACCCCTTAATTTCCTCCTGTGATCTCATGGAGACACACAGGGGCTCTGCCTTTCCAACTTCCCCATAGCGGGGGACACAGGGGACTTAGGAGTCTCATCTCCTAAAGCCACATCTGTTGAGTCCTAAATCCCACATTCTTCCTTCTATGCTGGTGGGAAGACCGGGGCATCTAGGGAGGGAGGAAAGGTTGTGACTTTGGCTCCAGGTAGAAAATGAACACATTTCTCTCCCTTCCCTTGTCCAGGTGGAGTGCAACTCGAAACTGGACCCAACAAAGACCACTCTCCTCAAGGTACAAAGAAAAGGACGAGTTTTGCATTTGTTCTTAGAAATGCTGGTGTTTCCCACAAAAATTGGGTGTGGCTCATTTAGGCAAAGCTGGTGGTCAGAAATGAGAGAAATAGTTATTTAACATACCTGTTTGCAAACATCCATTGGGTGCTGGCTGGTAAGATGAGAGGGTCCCTCTGTGGGACCCAAGGGGTCTCCAGGCTACAGCCTGTTGTCCTTGGGATCTGACCTTGAGCCTGGGCAGTAGCAGGGCTGGCTGACTCTTTCTGTCCATTTCCCCCGAAGGCGTCCCTGTGCTCCTGAGCCAGGGCCCGGTCGACCCCCTCCTGGGTCAGTGCTCACACAGGCCTGGAGTGACATTAATAAGCGCCAATAGCTTTAGGTCTGGTGATTTAGTAGCAGCGTGGGGAGCGAGCCCACTGACTGAGGGCAGCCCATCAGGAACCCCGGAGGCCTGGGGTCTGGAGTCCAGCAGCTTCTTTCTGTGGGCACCCGTGAAGGGAGTGTGTGCCCAGGGCCGTGAGTGGCGCCCCCAGTGCTCTCCGGCCTAGTTTATGCCCCTTACAGGGGACAGTCTACCTTCCAGGGTTCTTAGGGAACAGAGTAAAATTATGGACAGGGCCTGGCAGAGTGCCCTGTGATCAGAAGCTACGAGTCATGGTGGCCAAGAGGACCCAGTTCAGTGCTGAGATGGACAGGGTAGAAGCAGCCTCGCTAGAGTGTTGGGCATTTCTCTGTAATGTGCCTGGTGCCCCTCAGCGGGCAGGGCAGTGGGCAGGGCGGGCACCCACGGGTGGCCGGCGCACAGAGCAGGCATAGCTGTCGCTGAGGTCTGTGGCACTAACCGGCCTCCCTGTCTTCCAGATGGCGGACTGTGGTGGCCTCCCGCAGATCTCCCAGGTGAGTCCCGTGTCACTGCCCCCCAGCATGGGCCTCTGAGACCTGTTACTGCTTCTCTGCTCTCTGCTTGCTCTCTGCATCCGCTACACGGAAGCAGAGATAGTTTCAACATTGTTCTGTTGTTACCTTTGGCTCATTGGCTAGCTGGGAGTAGCTGGAGAGAAATGAGAAGTCCCAGTCTCTGGAGGGAATGGGGTCAGTCCAGCCTGACCCTGCTACCCATGCCGGGACAATGTGCTTCCCGGGCCTCCTTGGGTTGGACCTGGAGAAGGGGCGCCATTTTTCCTTCTCTCCCCTCCCTCCCTTCCTCTCTTTCCTTCTCTACTTGATGTGAGAACAGACCTGACCTTGGCCATCAGTAAAACATGCTTTAAATGTCCTGGCAGGAGCTGACCTAGCCCAGGGTTTTGAGAGATGAGCCCAGGGCGGACCCAGGACCATGTGATCACCCCTCCTCTGGCCCTGGCGAGTTGGGTGTTCCCATGCACCCTTCCATTTGATCCTTACACCAGCCCTGGGCTGGACTATTTACCTCTCCGTGTCTGATCAGCTGGGGAGTGTATATGAAAGAGCACTGACCTCATAAGGCGGTTGCCAGGGGAAAATGAGATTACGCTGGTGAGCGTGAGCCGTCAGCCTGTGAGCAGCACAGGATACACCGTTACTTACATCCCGGATGCCAGGCAGGACAGACGTCCTCCCCAGGAGTAGTCTGCCTTTCAGAAGCCCTCAGAGGCTGGTGTGGCTCACTGTCCTCGTTTCACGGGGGCAGGAATCATCTCACACAGGTCACGTCACGTGGCCAAGCTCCTGCAGCTGTAAAGGGACCTGGACTTTTTCTCCCTGCCCCAAGCTAATCTCAGTCCTGTAATTACGCCATGAATCTGTCCTTTCCTTTTGAGTATCGACGCATGGTGGCCTTCCCTCCTGGGCCAAGGGCTGTAACGAAGGGGACCACAGACAGGCACAGCTCACGCGGCCATTCCTGAGCTGGAGCCCTGGTGACTGACACCACTGTCCCTCTGTCCTCTCGCAGCCTGCCAAGCTCGCCGAGGCCTTCAAGTACTTCGTGCAAGGCATGGGCTACAGTAAGTATGGCGTTTTCCAGCAGGCGGGGGGCTGAGGGCAGGCGGGGGCCTGGGAATGCGATGCCCTGCACAAGGTTAGGGTGGGAACTCGGGAACAGCTTGGCCAGCCGCAGCTTTCTGCCAGCCGGGCGGGTCAGGGTAGAAAGATTCAGGGTGCAGGTGGCAGTACTGACCGAGTGTCTCACCCCATCGGGGCCCCTTCTCCCTCTGTGGCTGGACAGGAGACGTGTTTCACACCAGGAACGTTTGGAGATGTAGGTAAAGCACCAAGAAGACAACAGACAAGGAAACGATGAAAATCTTTTTTAAATTTTGATCACTGCTTGCTGCAGAGACTTTCAGTTGTAGTGATGATGGTGATGATGGCAGATTATTCATAAGTCCTTTATCTGTTCTCATTTAACCACCCAAATAATCCTGCAAGATACTCCTATCCTCATTTTGCAGGTGATTTGACATTGAGGCTTTGAGAGATTAAGCAAGGAGCCGAATGGGGATTCTAGGAAAGTTCTTTAAAAGCTATAAAATAGCTCTGAGTAAGTGGGTGATAAAGTTGCTTGTATTTAGAACAGAGTGTCTTTGCTAGAACATTAGATCCGGGAGTTGAAGGGTAAGGAGCAGCCACATGCTGCTGCCTGTGTGGTGGTCACATTGTAGTTTATTCGTCGGTCCCAACCCGGACAGACAGTCCCAAGTAGAAACACTGTCCCCGGGAGCGGCCGCAGCTGGTGCTTATCTCAGCCGTGGTTCTGCCCTGATGTGGTTTCTTTGGCTCTTTCTGCCTGCTGCTTGGAATTATAATTTATGTGCCCATCTTAACTAGGAAGTCTTTGTACTTCCAATGTCTTTCACTTTTTTCTCTGAGACTTAAGCTGTTTGCTTGTTTAAAATAGTAACAGTCTGTCTGACCACAGTTCTAAGATTGGCCTTAGCCGTGTTTAGTTTCTCTGTTTAGTTTCTCGTGAGGCCGAGAACGGATGAGGCTGATTTACTGGCACAGGCTTGGGGCGGGGTCCGTGTCCCCAGGTGCCCTCTGCCAACAGAAATCGTCTGTCTGTGGCTCTCCTGCCTTCTGAGCGACCCTCCCTGTACGAAAGCGCGCAGGCAAAGCAGTGGCCAGGCAGCGCCGGGCCTCCTGCATTTCGCCTACAGGCTGTGAATTGCGGCTCCTCTGCTGGGCCTCCCCCGGGTCCGGATTTCTGCTTGGAAAATTAATTCTGGGGAGAAAGGAAGCCAAAGCCAGGCCTCGTTTATCCCCCCATGTCGTGAAGCATCCTGCAAGCTACGGGAGACCACAGGAGGAGCTAGAGCCCCAGAAATGTCCCCAAAGTGGAAGAAAGTGAGCGCGTATGGAGTGCCTACTCCAGATGGCCGGCCAGGCGTGACCAGCCCTCTGCATCCATGACACTGTCCCGTAGTGGAGGAGGGCATTCGGTACAGCAGGGGTGGCTTCTGTGCATGGGTGTCTGCCACAGAAAGCCAGCGCGTGTGCCCAGGGAGAGAATGCTGTCACCCGACCCCCGTGTGTTTCAGCTGCCTCGGTGTGACGTCCACTGTTCCATGTGGACTTTGCGGCGAGGCTTTGGTTAGATGGTGTGGCTGCCGTGACGAATCCCCACAAATTGGGTGACTTAGAACAACAGAAATGTACCCTCTCACACCACCGCCGTTGTGGAAGCCAGAAGTCTGTAGTCAGGATGTAGGCAGCACCGTGCTCCCTTCCATGTTTCTGGAAGATTCCTTCCTTGCCTCTTCCAAACTTCTGGTGTTGCCAGCAGCCCTTGGGATCCCTTGACCTGTAGCTGCATTGCTCCGATCACCACCTCTTACCTCTACACATCCTTCTCCTCGTGTGCTGTCACCTCTCCCTTGGAAGGACGCCGGTCACAGCATTAGAGTTGACCCTACCTAGTTCACCGGGACCTCACCTTAACGTATTATGTCTGCAGAGAACCTCTTTCCAAATAAGGCTCTGCTCTGGGATCCCAGTGGACAGGAATTTGGGGACAATGCTCAACCCAGTACAGATGGGGGACTGTTTTATCCTCATTACATTTTATCAGCCACCTGCCCCGTGCAAGGGCATGTTGAGCCCCAGAGAATGGGCAGCACCCCGATAGTCCCTGGGAGCCCAGGGGCTCCTCGGAAAAGGGACAAGGCCGCGGACAGCCAGCTCTGCCATAGAGGTGCCACACAGCCTCGGTGTCCCCACTTTGGCCAGCTGACCTTATTGCCATTCGAGTGCTCGCTGACAGGATGAGGCTGTGGGCATGCACATGAGCACTGGCTCTGTGGGGTCCACATGAGCGTTCCCATTTCACAGATGGGGCCGTAGGGCTCAGAAGGGGACACTCCCAAAGTCACAGAGCTGTTAAGCAAGTGACAGAACTGGGAGTCAGACCCAGGTCTGAGCTGAAGCCGCCGTGGTGGCAGCAGGTCCTTACCCCATCGGGGCCTCACTGTTCCGTGTCTGTGAGATGATGTGAGGATGTCAGGGAGCCCAGTGGCTGGATCACTGTGCGGCTGGGTGGGATGCTGGGCCAGGGGGGGCGCAGAGGGCCCACCGCTGCCGGCGTGCAGCTGCCTCTAGCGCCTGCCACCCCGAACGGTTCTCTCCTCTCTCCCCAGTGCCCTCTGCCAGCATGACCCGCCTCATGCGGTCCCGCACAGCCTCGGGCTCCAGCGTCACGTCCCTGGAGGGCAGCCGCAGCCGCTCCCACACCACTGAGGGCACACGCAGCCGCTCGCACACCAGCGAGGGCACACGCAGCCGCTCGCACACCAGCGAGGGCGCCCGCCTGGACATCACCCCCAACTCCGGTTCCACTGGGAACAGCACCGGGCCCAAGTCCATGGAGGTGTCCTGCTAGGTGGCCCGGGTGAATGGCCGCCCCCCAGACTGTGGGATCACCATAGCTGCCCCCTCCTGCAGCCCCTTCCTGCCCCCTGCCTGCCACACTGCACGTAACTCGGTATTAATCCAAAGCTTATTGTGTAAGAGTGAGCTCTGGCAATGCCAATGTTAGAAGGGATTTGTCGAGGGCTGGGCGGGGGTGGGTCGAAGGAAAAGAAGCCCCTCCGTGGCCTGCTGGCCCCTGTCTCACCCTCCCTCAGAAATACCAAACTGCCAAAACAATAAACCCAGCGGGGACCATGTCAGGACCCAAGCCTAGGCTGACCTGGGAATCCTGCTTCTAAGGGGCATTTTGTCAGAAGTCCAGCCCACCTACTTCCGGTTTCCTCTCCAGCTAAGGACACACCGACCCAGTTTCTGGAAACAACACCCTCTTCTGGTTTGGGGAGGAAGAGAACAGTGAATTGGGGGTTCCTCATTTAGACAAAACAGGAAGTGGGAAAAAGAGGCGGGGTTTATGCAGAGGCTAGGACAGTTTGGAAAAGCAAATCAACGCAGCTAAGTTGAAATAGATTTTTAAAGTTTGTGCATATATATACTTAATGCCGAAGCATACAAGTCTGCTTTTCTGACGTAATGAACAGGAAAGCAGGCAAGAAAATCTCCTGGCTTTACAAAAAACGAAAACAAAAAATGGTCGCAGCAAACATTTGGTGTCCTAGATTTAAGGCATTGGCTCTGTTCTCTGCCTGCCCCTCCTCAGCCCCTGCTTCCCACCCCAAATACATGAGTGAGCGGTTATTTCATTCATGGGGAAGATCCTTTAAGTACGTGGTTGCTTTCCTTGAGATGGAGGGGACATTGGGAACAGCTGTACCTGGCTGCCAGGTGTCTCCACGCACTGGGGCAGGGACGGGGGTGGGGTGGGGTGGGGCTTGGGTACTAGATGTAAGTTAGAGAGTTCTTGTGGTTGTGATGAAATCCAGTGTAGTAGTGATTCCAATTGATGCCATCCTGGTTTCCAGGAACCTTCTGTGATTGAGTTAAATCTTTGACAACTGGGGTTGAATCTGAGCCGGACGGCCCGACGTTTCTGGCCTGGTCACCCTCCTGGATCTTCAGATGGCCTGTTTGCTTGTGGCCAGGGTGGGGACTCTGGTGGGGGGTGGTGGCTGAAGACACAAGGGTTCTGGAATGTTTATTCCATAGGATTTGCTCCCCTCTCCTGCCTCCCGCTCTTCCCCACCCCCCCTAACCTCCTTTCTCCGAATGGGGTGGCACCACTGACATCTGGGGCAACATCGGTGTCACTGTCAAGTTCCTGTACTACTGCCTTTGATCTTCATTTTGGCTAACACGGATCTTATAGGAAGTTTGGTCAGAGTGAATGGGACACTGAGACTCGGCCACCGAGACCTCGTGGTTTCGGGGACCCTGGAGTTGGTAGAAGGAGGTTGCCAGACCTTGAGGGGAGCTTGAGGGGTGATGAATGATTCGGTTTACCTGCCACTCAGCACCTGGGAGGCTCACCCTGGCCTGGTGCAGAAGGGTCAGGGGTCAGGGCGGGAATGGCCGAATCCAGACGGAAAACCGCTGTGTGCAAGTCTTCCCAGAGGAGTTTCTTAATGAGATATTTGTATTTATTTCCAGACCAATAAATTTGTAACTTTGCAGTGGCTTGTGTTTTTTTCCCTCTACCCGAGAGAGCATGCTTGTGGCCTCGGGACATAGGGACAAGTCTCTCCCTACCTGGGGCCCCTCGAGTTGGGTTCAGAGCCTCGCTGTCCGATACAAATGTAATGTGAGCTCCACATTCTCTGGCAGCCACATCAAGAGACAGAAACAGGCGAATTTAATTTGAATAACGCATTTCATCGAACCCAAGGTACCCAAATATTACCATTTTGGCATAAAATCAATGTAACAATTATTCAGCTATTTCAAATTTCTTTTTTGTTTCACATCCTCGCCTTCACGCTACGAAAACCAGTGTGTATTTCTCATCACAGCCCCTCTCCCATCAGACCGGCCCCCATTCCAGTCCTTGAAAACTAGGACAGCACAGGGACGAGGGGCAAAGCTTTCAATCTACAACTGGAGAGAAACATCTTTTTTTACGTTTTATTTTTATTTTGGAAATGCATGTGGGAAGATCACTCCTTTTCTCACATCTCATAACCACTGCAATGCCTGTTTCTGTTGAAAAAAAAATACAGTAGGTTTTAGCATAACCTCCCATTTTTCTTTAAACTTTTAAGATTAGTGTAAAATTTACAAAAGTTATAAAGAGAGTACGGTGAGCTCCCATATACCCCTCCCCCAGTTCTCATTATTAATGTCTCACATTATTATGGTATATTGGTCACCACGTGTCCTCAGCATGTTCTGGCCCGGAACAGTTTCTCACACTTGCCTTGTTCTGACCTTGGCAGTTTTGAGAACCACGGGCCAGGCATTCTGCAGAATGTCCCTCCGCAGAGGTTTGTGCGAGGCCTTTCTCCTGGTTCCATCTGGGTTTGGAGTCTCTGGAACGAAGACCGAGGAAGGGAAGTGCCTTCTGCTGGGTCAACGTGGCTCACCGCCGAAGAGGAGAGTCTCGATCCCCAGGCTCCAGTCACATTTGCCAGGCCGCTCCCCCTGCCCTCACCTTTTCCACCCTCCTTTCGAAGCAAGGCACCCAGCCCCGCTTTAAACAGCTGTCATGCTCTTATATATAATGGTTTCTCTTCGCATACCTCGGAGCCTGTCTTAGAGTGTACACCGAGCCATAAACACAAAGAGCCTCGTTGTGGGGAGTGGATGGGCTGTAATCCGAGGCTCTGTTGTGTGCAAACTGGCTTTGGAACATGGAGAAGGAGTTGAGTGGGTGCGGATGGGGAGACTGTTCCCAGCAGAGGGCCCAGCCCGGGACCCTGGCACGGAGGGTGGAAGGTGTGTGCATTCAATGAGAAACCTGCCGCACAGACCCGGGCGGGCGACTGTGTGCTATGCGTGGCAGGAAGTGGGGCAGGAAGGGGTTTGGATGCATACAACACAATACCTAAGATCACAAACGAAACCACTCACCGAGGAGTGCAGCTGCCCTGATGGTGCAATCGTGTGGTATAGCATCGTGTGCTATATATAGACAAGTTAATTCAGAAGGTAGAGGCAGGGCTCTGCCTAATTTCCAAGCAGCGAGCGATCAACACAATACCTTGGATATTTACCACAATTGTACTAAGAAAAACATAATGGGATTTCGACTAGATGACATTAGGGTCTGTGCCTATGTTTACATAGAGAAAAATGCTGAATTGTAATTAGAGGTTAGTAAAAACAAAGATGCATTCTCTGCCACCCAAGGATGTGGCCCCTGAAATCTACTGGTGGATTCTTGGTCTGAGGACCCAGGTTAAGAAGCCCTGCTGGTGTTGGGGCGGGGGGAGTGTATAAACTCATCCGTATTCTGCATCGACAGTTAGGTGCCTGTTCTGCTGCAGCTCCGGGGCGGCAGTAAGAATAAAGAAGGGGCAGGCTGAGGAAAAGCCAGCAGGCAATCAGCAGGGCAGTGGGCATACACAGCAGCTTTGAGGAGGGACGGCACCAGGGAGTGAACTGGCCCGGGGCTCCGTAGGTGCTGGGTGTTGTTTACACCCAGGTGCTCTGCCTAGAGGCTGTTTTGCCAGCTGGGGAATCTTCCCAAAGCTGCTTGTTTTGGTTCTGATGGTGCGTTGTCCCTGAAGCAGCTGGGAGACCAGGTATGCACGGAGCTTAACCACCTACAGGTGTGTGGGGCCAGCCCCGGTCTCCATCCGCTCCTTCCTCATGGCGCCTTCTCAGACACAGTAACAGAATGTGAGCCATTTTGTGGGTTCTAGGTGCAGGCGACATCCATCTCGTTATAGATTTGTCTTGGGCTTCCCGGGCTGCATGGAAACCCTTTGACTGTGTGGCTCACGTGGAATGCAAGGGCAGAAGGTGACCCTGACCTTATGAGGTGGCAGATGAGATCAGGGAGGGGTCCCCGTGGGCAGAAGTGCCTCCTTCCTCCTAAGACCAGATTGTTCTGCATCTCCTAAGCCTGGGCCTACATGACCTTTTGGCCCTTGGACCCAGAACCAATCAGGTATTTGTGTCTCAAAGGAGGAAGAATCTAATTGGCCCAGCCAGACTCAGGTGTTTCCACTCACTGTCCAATCAACTATGACTGGATTCACTCTACTCCCGCCCCCTTCCCCACATACAGGCAGCAAGGGGGCTCACAGTCATTGATGTAGTTGCAGCAGGTAAATTGCTTTGCCCTTTGAAGAATGAAATCCATTGACAGCAAACTGCCTGCTGTAGGACAGGCCCTTCCTCATCCCTGCTCTGAGAAGTGTTTCCGGAAGGGCCTTACCTCTCCGGAGGCACAGACCCAGAGACAACAGTGCCCTGCGGAGCGGGTCTCAGTCACCAGTGCGGCATCTATAACACGTGTCCCCTTGAGTTTCCTCTTCCCTGTCACCAGCATTTCCTTTGTATCTCCAGGGGCTGCACAGTGTCCGCAGCAGAACAAGAGGTTATTGCTAGATAAACACTTCCTCTAGTAACAGCAATATTCAGCTCATCTTTTAGTTTCTTTTCCGCCTCTTCTCTTTATCTGTGACACTGAGTTACCCCGCTTCATGAGAAATCCAGGGCTCAAGAGATGAAAGGGCTTGTGCAGCCATTTCTAAACTAGACTGCGTCTCTCCTGCTTTTAAAACAGTTACTGAGCACATGGCTCACGCAGGTACCCACTGATGTCCTGGGACAGTGGGGCATCGGTTAGTGCCCAGGGACCAACGACGTGGGGACATGGGTGCCCCTTCAGGCTGCTATTGGCTGTGGGGATGTCTCTCTCTCCACTAAGTGGTCCCACCCAGACGTGGCTGACTTACTGTATTTTCTAGCTCATCCTTGATCCTTTTGTTTTCTCTGCTGACAAGCTGACATTTTCTCTGGCTATGAACAAGGCTGCTTCTAGCAGCTTCTCCCTATTTATGGGAGGGACTAAGAAACCCACTTTGTTAGCACAGTGTGAAAAATAAGAGTTGTTGGTTCTGGCATGGAGGTCTGGAGATGCTTTTTACGGAATATAGTGGATGGCACTATCCATGGGCCAGGTGCCCACTTTTTCATGTCCTTACAAGTCACTTTCGCTCAGTCCTACATTTGGAAAGAACCCAGGTTCGGCCAGAACTTGGACCCCTTGAATATACCCTTTTTGTGGTCCCCCCTTATCAGTGACGGGGTGGGAAGAGCACTGGTATCTCTGCTATATGGTGTTTTACCTTCAGAATAAAATGTTCTGGCCACTTCATTCTGTTAAAGAACAAGGGTAAGCCAAGTAACTAGGAAGGTCTAGTTAAGTGGCTTTATTAAGTGGTTCACGAATCAGGTAGGATCCCATGCAGCACGCAGAACGGTGCTCCGAGGACTGGTACAAATGGGAGGTTTTTGTGCGCAGAAAGAGGTGGGGACAAGAAAGCTTTTAAAAAGTGGATCATTTCAGACAAGGTCACTTCCGTCAGGGGAAGGCAGGGGTCTCACCAGGCCGATCACCTCACTAGTGCGGACCAGGAAATTCCAGGTGCATTTATTTAAAATTCCACTCCCGGCACACTCTCCCTCCAGGGAGCATGCCGTGCCTTTCTTCCCTCTCAGGTGTGCGTCTCCTAAACTCAAAGAGTCCCCACAAGAGTTGCAGCCAGGAGAACAATGGGCAGTTGCAGGTCATCCAGGGCCAGTGCCCTGCACCTGTCCCCGAGGCCCCCTTTCTCTGGCTTTCCAGGGGGCCAAAGCAGCCCTGCCTCAGCTTGCTCCTTCAATCCTAAGCCCTTCCTTGTTTCACAGTCTCCAGCTTTAATCAATAAAATAATAAATAAAATAAATAAAAATTTAAAAAATAACTTGAAATAAAATTTATTATTTTTATTTATTTCAAAAAATAAATTTAAATAAAAATTTTTTTTTCAAAATAAAAAAATTGGAATAAAATTTTACTCCTGGGAGAGGTTGGCACTGAAATTAGCCTAGGTAGCGAGTCTTGATTGCGCTCTGCACAAGCGACTCCATTTCTTTTTAACACTTCAAATCTCATTTTGCCAAAACTTCAAGTACGTGATCTCACCAGAAATCTCCCCCAGAGTCTGCACATCCACTTGAAGACATCCACAGGACTGCACCATCTAAATTCCAGTATGCTTCAGGATAGAGGTGTTCTTGGAAACAACGTATGTGGCAGTTATTTTTATTGTAATTCAGTCTCTCCTTGATTTTTATTATAATTGCACAATGTGTTCTGAGGAGAGGTGGGTGATGGGGATTTGGCTGGAAAGTATCCAATGTGTCGCTCATGTCATTTACTCCAGCGTTTGCACCTCTGGGCACAGAGCTGAACGGGGGCTGGGGGGCATGCGGACTTGGGAGACGCAGTAAAATAGGACACCCTGCCTAAAAGAAGTTGACCATTTAATCAAATGAGAGCCTCCAGTGAAAACATAAAAATCAAAAAGTTAAGGGGTCAGGCAGTATATGATTAAAGTAAAAAAGCATTCCACCGAATATTGGTGACTTTTGCTTCATATTTGCTATTTGGAAAAAGAACAAAATAAGTAAACCACGCAGACGTACAGCGACTCCCATTTTCATCTACCTCGCTGACTGTCCCGTTCACGAGGAAATAGAGACCCAGTGGTGACGGAGGTGCTCGCAGGGGCTCACCAGCGCTCGTCTAAAACTCCGCACGCAGCAGGCATTCAATCGTCGTCCATCTTCACCACCACAAGCCAAGCACTATCATTTCCTACGTTCCACAGCGGAGGGAACTGCAGTTCAGATGAGTGACAGGAGGGACCCCCGGAAGAGATCAAGCACCCAAGGGCCATCGGACTCCCAGAGTCAGAACCGTGTCCGCTGTATCAGGCAGCCTCCTTCACACTTCTTCTGCCTCCCTTGGTTCCGAAGGCAGCTGGCAGCAGCCGCTCTGTCCATCCCCCTCTCCACCCGATGGCTTACCTGGTTCCTGACAGGGGCCAGGTGCTGCGCTCAGCTCAGGGGACACAGTCACAGCCCCTGACCTCAAAGTGCCCCCGTCTAGATGGAGGCACAGGAAAGCACCGAATAAATGAGTGGGTGACTGAGTAAATGCATGACCGCTAAAATTCCCATTTTAGGTTTAGGCGAGCTGTCTTGCAGCCTGCATACCTTTGTAGGGCTGGTCTTTTCTGAATGCCGGAATTCCTGCTTCCACGGGCATCTCCAAACTTATAGCTGTTTTTATCACCATCTATAAAGTGGCTGGGACCTAATTTTCACCATCTGTACCTTTACCGAACGTGCTGGGTGCTTTGTCAGCCCCGCATAACTACTGAACAAACAAGAGAAGCCACCACATCCAGGAAGTCACTTTGCTCACGATTTATTGCTTTAAAGAGAAAGGCTATAAACAGGGAATCTGAGCAATGAAAATGCTTCACATTGAACAAACATGTTTACACAACACAACTCACGAGTGGAATGAGGAATGCAGTAAGTCAGGACGGAGCGCCCAAGGGCTATTTCCTCTCTATTGGGAAGTTCCAAGACCGTGTTTTGGTTTGAGTTTTTTTTTTAGTCACTTACAGAAACTGCTGGAGGAACACTTAAATATTAAGTCACAGTTTGAAAACAGATATAATCACACATATATACAGACACACATACGGGTGCAGAGGCACACACAACTGACTGATTTTGACAAGCTGGGAGTCCAGGCTCTGCAGGGTCATCATCACAGTTACTTTGGATCCAGCTAAGCCTCCAAAAGCAACAACCTAATTCAATACAACAGTCACCAGCCACGTTGCTTCCCCGAAATCCCTATGGAGACTCAGCACCCTGTTAGTGCGATTGTAGACACTTACGTCATCGGAGTCTACTTCCTTTAATTGCTCTCTTACTCAGCTTCAGAGTTGAAATTGCAGCTCTTGTCAGCAAGGCCTCTCTTGCACCATTGTGGTCTGGGGTGGCCAGCTAACTGGGCTTAGTGTCAGGAGAGGTGGCTCAGAGGACAAACTGACCTTGGTTTGCCATTGTGGCCTGTAGTTCAGAAGCTGGTGAGACCTTGAGCAAGTGCGGGAACCTCAGTGAACCTCAGCTGCCTTATCTCTACAATGGGGATATGATAACAATGCCTTATCTTGAATAAGATATGGCAGTAAAGCACCTGGCATAGGCCAGGCAGGCAGTAAGCATTCAGCAAATGCTTACGATAAGGTTTAGCAAGAATGAGGGATTTGGCAAATTCAGGTCTTCCACCCCCTCCCACATCTAAGCACACCAGAGAAGTCCTCTCCAGGCATGAACATGAATTCCTTCATCAAAGGTTCACTGACCTTTAGTCTATCTTTCCTTTGACCTAGACCATGGAGTTACAGGGGCTGGAGAGATCATGCATCTGAGGAATTTGATCTCCTTTGCCATAGTGACCCTCCGACAGGGGTCATTTACGCTCTGTCTGGAGTCCTCCTTCCAAGGGCAAGGCAGAGTGGAACGAACTGAGATTTGTCTGGGCTTCAGCTTTTTGAGGGTTGATTTCTCAGCTTCTCTGAGTCTCAGATTTTCCATTTATAAAATTGGGAAGAAAAACTTACTCAAACTGCCGTGATAATTAGTAAAATCACAAAAACTTAGCATAGTACTTAGCACCAAGTAATCACCCAATAAAAGGACACTCTTATCGTTGTGATTGTTATTCTTAACTTGTGTTGAAGTAGGCCTTACCGCTGCAGGCTATTCCCACTGCTTTCTTACTGGCCCCACATGGATCTGAGACCTTCCCAACATGGTCCTACAGAGGATGGGTCTATTTCTCAAGGTGAATGCTAACTGGAGCCTTCCAGCCCGCCAGCCCTTGCCACCCATTCCCAGGGCAATGCCCGACTCCTCCAAACAGGTTTTCTAAGGTCCTGGAAGCCACGCTTCATCTCCCAGATTGGCTTGTGGATTCAGTGAGAACCTGGCCCTTGTGTTCCTGCTGAACTCCAAACAGGATTAGCTGTCATCGGTCCCTGTCCTTTGTAGATGGCTGGTGATGTCATCCTTAGAAAAGCCCACATAGGCTAATGGGAGAGATTATTCAAGGGGAAAGTTCTTTTCACATAGAATTTTTTTTCAGTAACATATATGTTTCTTGAAATACTAAATACCTCGTTTCCTATGAAGTGTAAAGTAAGACCCAGCTGATAAAAATGAGATGTGCAAGAAGGGAACTTCTGAATGAATGAAGAAAAACACACCCCCAGTTTCTTTTATTCGTCGAACCCACGGCATGCCTTGCACTGGGCTGAGCATTTGGGAGGCCACAGAGTGGAGAACACGTCATGGTTCTCTGTCCCCGTTCGGGGGCCCCTCTGCCCACCACACAGAATGCCCTTAGCTGCGCACTGTCCAACACGCAGCGCTGGGCAATGGAAACCGTCTCTTAAGTGCCCGGTGAGCACGGGCCCTGATGTGAAGGAGGAGACCACCCACAGGGACCCACGGATTTTGGTCCCCCCACCCCCGGTATGCGTTTGGACACCCAGGCACCTGCTTGCTCTGAACGTCAGATTCTCGTAGCTGGCAAAGGGGCCTAGAGAGGCCGTAGAGAAGAGCGGAGAAGTCGCTGACTTTAAGCTGCTTTCCTGCTCAGGTGCGTTTGGAAGCTTCAAAAATCAGGGGACACGACGGCTTAGGAAGTCAGTCCAGCTGGGATTGGAATCCTGACCCCCCCTCTTACCGGGTGGGTGACTGGGGCCAAATTCCCTCACCTGGTTGAGCCCCCAGTTCACATTTGTGAGAACAGAAATAATGGTGGGCACTTTCGACACGATCCTGAAGTGTCCACGAGCTAGTGTACGGAAAGGAGTGCGAACAGGGCACGTGGACGGCACTGCGTGAAAGGACGGTGACAGCAAGTACTTCTGTTTCACTAATACAGTAAATGTTTGACTCGCCCACACTCACAACGACCTCTCCTCTTGTTGGCCTCAACCCCTTTCTTTGGCTTTTACTCCCTGTTAAATAGGTTTCTGTTTCTACACAACTAGTAACCCGCTGTCTTCACTCCAGAATTGCGTTGTTTGGGTCAGCAGGCCCCAGTCTGTAAAATGGGCCACTGTGGCGGAAGGGGACGTTGTATCCTGGGCCCTGTGACCCCTGTCACCCAGGTTGATGCAGACAGGACCCACTGCTTGGTTTGACCCCCACCCGGGATCGGACTCTGACCAGACTCAACTGACTCTGTAAGTGAAAATCTCAGGACCTCACTCTCAGGAGTCAGACAGGCCATCCCAGGGGCTCCGCCAATTCCCATAAGCCCCCAAGCTGGGCGAGGGTCTGGATTTGAGGAGCCCGGCCAACCCCTGGTGTCCTGGTAGACAGTGGCAGGTTCACACTAGGGTCCTCACTCCCTCTGACGCTGGCTGCCTTCACTCTGGACCTCGCTCGTTCACTGTCGCTAGGGTCCTTGCTTCTTCTGGACGCTGGCTGCCCTCACTCTGCCCTGCAGTGCTGACTGGGGACTTTCTCATGAACAAGAACGAAATTCATCAGATTGCATTTCTGACCTAAATGAACCCGTGTATCCTTCTCAGTCCAGGAATGGAGAGAGAAACTCGGCCTCAATGATGCCTGGACTAATAGCCACGGTGTTTCGTGAGGAATCAAAGGCAAACAACCATTCACCTCACTTGGTGAGTGCTGGGTGGCCTTGTGACATGCACATCTTTGGACCCAGAGGTGCTTCGGTGCTCTGTGCTCAGAGGCAGTGCTGTCTGTCACAGCGCCTCCCGGCAGGGCCCCAGTACTAGACTGTCCCATTGAACTAAAGTTCACCCATCCTTCGAATGGATCTGAACAGTCTCGTGGTTGGCATCTCAAGAGGGAATCAGGGATATTCAATGTCCAGCTGATACGGCCCTTCAGGACTCAGGAGGAAGCCCCCGTGACTTGCACAGGCCCGATCAGGCCTCCACGGCGCTGTCCAGGACAGGCGGAGCCAGGCGCTTCCTCCGGGCGCCTGTGGAATGCAGACAAGAACGGGGCGCGAAGTCTGGGCCTGAGTGGCAGCGTGGTGTGTCATCTGGGTGGTCGGAGACAGGAAAGGGGCTGCGGGTCTGGGTCAGGGTCATTAGAAATGAATGGGAAGTGGACAAGAGGAGGGTCGATGGGGGGCCTCAGGGGCCTGGCTGCTTTGCCGGGACTGGGCCAGGCCCGATTTCTGTGTTGCGTGCCTGGCTAGTTGGCGATTTCTGAGAAGTCAGGGTAGGAGTCCAAATCAGCAAAGATGTCATTGGGGTTTCGACAGGTCAGGTTGCAGAAGCAGGCATTAATCCAGAGCACCTGGTGAGAGAAGCCAGGCCCATCAGGGCACTGGAAGGAGACGCTGATGGTCTTGGACTTGTAGGGGATGCAGCACCTGTTGTCCGTGCAGACCCCGCAGTACTTGGGCTGGTAGACACGTGTGCTGACGCAGCCGGCGAGGGTGAAGTTCATGGGCACCTCTGGCTGGTACACAGCCAGACACTTCTTCCCTTCCTGCGGGAAAGAGGTGTCAGTTGAGATGCTCCGAGGACGAACAATGACCTTCTTCCCCCCCAGCCCCCAGTTGTCCCTCCTCACTCGCCACATGGGAGCCCTGCACCTTACTTTGAGACCTGCAGCATCTTCCAGCTGGGAAGGCCCAACCACGGAACAGCACGGCCCGGCTGTGTCACCCAGGAGTCAACCGAGGACCACAGAGGGGCTGGCTTTGCTCACTCAGCTCCTGCCTCTCACTCTGCAGTTTCTCGTCTTTCCTCCATCTCCGCCCAGACACTGCCCTGTCCTTTGTCACAGTTTCACCAGCACAGGGTGCCTTTGTAGCTCCTTCAGTCAACCAAACGCCCCAGCTGGTCAGTGGCAGAACCACCAGGGGACTCCATGACGGTGGCACGCTTTGCCCTGCCCTGCCCCTCCTCTCCCTCCCGTGGCCCCTCACACACCCTTGTCATGCAACTTCCTCAACTCGATTGGAATTATTCAAAAGGAGCCCCGGCTCCCCGCCGGGCTTCGGGCCATCAAGAGTGGGGCTCCTGGGTGTCTACTGTCTAGTTCCGTGCCTGGCACATAGTAGGTAGTTACTAAACGCATCGAACTAATGGCTCTGGGGTCTCCCATGTGCCAGCACTATGCCACAACGGGGCAGGGCCCGGGAGCAGATCCAGGTACACGGGGTGCGGGGCTCATACAATTTAAGGAAACAAAATTGGGTGGTAAAGGTGGGGGTCGGGTGACAGAAAAGACTTGAATTAGCTTTGTGGTAAGCCCCCGTCTTCCTCAAGGGCACCATGCATTCAGGGAGCTTGGGGCTTTTGTTCCTATTTTTCCCGTGGCTGCAGACTGTTACAATCATGCTTTCACGGCGAGATGTCTGCAGGGCACCCACTGCCCACCAAGCGCCCAGAACACAGAGGCCAGTGGGGCGAGGAAAATAATCAGAGAGGAAGGGAGAGCAGAGGAGACACAAGAGAAGGAGAAGGTGGGAGGTCCAGACTGACAGAGGGGTGCCCGTGGCAGGGCACAGGGCACAGGAGATGGGGACAGGGAGGAATCGTTGGCAGCTGGGCTGTCAGGTCTACTGGGCAACCCTGTCCCCAAGAAACCATCAGTCCCGAATTGTTTCTTTTTTCCTTTTCAGTGGCAGCGGGCATATGAACAGTCCCGTGGCACAAGCGAGGACTGGAATTCGGGCGGTCAGGCCCATTGCTGACTGAGGGCCAGAGTACAGGCGGCTGTGTCCACGGCAGACCATCCTCGGCCCTTTATTTTGATTTTCCTCGACCCTCAGAGCTGGAAGGGCTGTCTGAGGTCAACTCCAGTATCTTACTGCTGTGAAGCCTGGGGCTCAGGATGCGAGGAGACTACAGCTGTCCCATGCGGTCAGCCGCAGAGAAGGACGCCCCGCCCCCAGCTGTGCGGCCCCGGCCCTGTTGCGTGCTCCCCTGTCACCCAGCGTGGCTGTCGTGCGGTGCATGGACACAGCTGGCGCAGGAGCAGAGAGAATGGCGGTCAGTGAGGGTCCCTCAGAGTCACTCCAGGAGAGCCCTCCTGAAGGCCCAGGGTTCTCTCCAGAGTGACCCTGATTTGAACAGTCCGCTCACCACTCTCACTTCCGTTGAGTGAAACACACGACACTCCAACCTGGTAACACCCGTTACCCCCATAACTTTGGGAGGTGGGCCTATTTATTCCCGTTCTACAATGACCTCACAAGAAAGTTGATGAGCCGGGCTCGAAGCCCAGCTTTTCTGTGTAGTCCAAGATGCCTGCCCACCCCCGCTCCCCTGGGAGGTGGACCCACCTTGATGAGTGGACGGATGTCCACGTCACAGGGCCGCAGGTTGCAGAGGCGCCTCTCCTGCTCAGGCCAGCAGTGGGCATTGGCGTTGGAGACACGCGTGGAGACGCCCAGGCCGCAGCTGGTGGAGCAGGGGCTCCAGGGGCTCGAGTAGGCCACGCAGTTCCTGTGCCAGGGCTCGGGCTCACCCTCGGCCACTGCGAGCGGGGACCACGTTCCCCGTGAGTCCCCAGCTCTGTCACCTCCAACGCCCCCATCGCCGCCCTGCACACTGGATCCTTGAAACTCTGCAAGGAGAGAGGTGGCAGGCTGGCTTCTATCTGGTCGTGGGTCCCCAGAGAGAGAGGACTTGTTTTGAGCTCCTCCCACTTCTCTGGGGGGAAGACCATCTTTAAAGACGGGAAACTGAGTTCAAATCCTATCGTGGGGTCCCAGACAACTCAATCTGGCCTCTATCCCCTCATCGGGACCATCCCTTCTGCCTTGTGGGGCTGGTGTGGTAATAAAAGGACTCTGGATGCTGACTATGTCTCGGTCACCTGCTTCGTGCTGGGCACACAAGGTTACGAGACACTGTTCCTGCCCCTGTGAGGTTAAGCTTATTTGGGGGAAGGCCAAAGGCCGTGGCCACACCCTAGGACCCAGCGTTTCCTCTGGGCAATGCCGAGGGCACGGTGGTCACGGGGCACACGGGCTTCAGAGTCAAACAGCGTGGGTTCGACTGGAGCTGCCTGCCAGGGGGTGGTTGGGGCTCTGCCTCCCAGGGCTGGAAAAGACGGGCACACACACGTGACAGCGCTCCAGCTGTCCCCGGCCCTTAGCGAGCCCTCAGTAAATGCGGGCTCTCGTGGTTCCTGGATCATCGGCCAGCGCACACCAGCTCTCGGACAGCACTGTTAATGTTTACATCCCAGCGTCCAGAGCGTGGCGGGTGCTCACCGATTCTCAGAGAGATGGAAGATGGAGAGAGCTAGGGGTGGAGGCGGGCGGAAATCCAGGGAGACAAAGGAGAGGTCCCACAGGAAGATGGAAGGAGGCGCACAAGAGTCAGAGCCCAGGAGGAAGCCAGTCTCAGTGTGCAGAGACAGGGGAGAAAGGAACAGGCAGAGGGAAGGGGAGGAAGACAGATGGAGAGAGAGGGAGAGAAAGGTGTTGCAAATGGCGGGGTGGGGGGGACAGAATTGGAAAGGGAAGACCTCAGATGGGATGAGGAGGAGGAGGAGAAAGGGGAAGACTCCAGGCTAACATCCAGACTTCCAGGCTAACAGGTATGCAGGGAGCAGGGATGAAAAAACAGGGGGTGGGGGGAGGGGAGGTTTGGGAGACAGAGGGGAGAAGGAGAGTTCTCAGAGGGCAGGGCAGGGCCGGGCTGGTCTGGCTGGAGGGAGGGTGGGACGTGCCGGGAGGATAAAAAGGGCTTTGGTTTCTGGGTCACGCACACGGCTCTGCCTGTGCTCGGTCAGAACGGGGTCACTGGGCCACACACAACGGGCAGACAGCAGCTGCCCCACCTCCCGGTGACCCTGTGTGGCTCTGCCAACCGGGGGACCTGCTGGGGCTGCTGCTGTCCTGGGCTGCTAGGGACAGAGCTTTTCCTGTCACCTCTCTCATGGGGCTGGCTCAGCAGCTGAGGGCCCCCCAAGCTCCGCCCAGAGAGGTGGTCCAGCCTGAACCAAGGCAGGCGGTGGGGGTGGGGGAACCGCTGTCCCTCCTGCTCCAGCCAGACCCACCCGAGTGCGCCCTCTGCTCTCCTGCTCTCCATTGCGTTCCGTTCTGAGACACTCTCTTCACTTGGCTTCTGCAAAATGTCTTCCTGTTTCCGACCTGCCTCTTGGATTTGTCTTTCTCAGCTTTCTTCTCTGTCCCCAGAGAAAACAGCAGTGCCTCACGGCTTCCCCAGAGGTTCTGCTGAGGGCCACTCTGTCCCCCAGGACACAAGTGAGGTCTGCAGGGAGTTTTGGTCGTGACTGTTTGCGTGGCAGGTGTGACTGGCATCCCCCGGGTTGGGGTCAGGGATGCTGCTGAACATCCCACAGTGCACAGGGCAGCAGCCCCATCACAGAGAGTTACCTGCTCCAAACGGTGTCAGGACCACAGGGAAGAGCCCTCACCTGCCACAGTGAGAGAAAGCATCTCCTCCCTCTCCCACCCTCGCACCTGCCGCTCCTGCCTCCCCTCCCCAGGTACCCACCACGCACTCACCCCTCCACCTCCATACCCCCCACCCAGTCTCTTAGGTAGGATCGTGATGAATCACACGTGCCTGGCTTTGTTCTGCACAGAGCCCTTCCTCGTTGTACGCTCAGAGGATCCCACACGACAGGCAGGGCAGAGGGTGTCACGACCGCCGTGCCCACGGGGAGACAGAGGCCAGAGGAGATGGGACTCTACCAGGGTCACTCAGCTAGTGAGTGGAAGACTGGGAACCGGACTGCGGGCTTTGTGGTCAACCACAGGCAGGCGGTCCGAGCTCCAGGAGGGTCCGCCCCCTCCCCAGGCCAGCCCTCCGGCCCCCGCGAACAGCACCCACCTAGGGCTCCCGTGTGGCGCGGTGCCGTCTTGCGCAGCCTCCTGGCCTCGTCGTCACACACCCACTGCTCACAGCAGCGGCCGGGCAAGCTGACCCGCCGTGGGTGGTGGCACCAGAGGCGTGGGGGGCGCACTCGGAGGCACAGCGGCGTGCAGCCCACCGCGCCATCCACGCACGTGCAGTTGAACTTGCAGTTGGGCTGGAAGGACTGGCCATTGCTGTAGCGCACCCCGTCCAGGACGCAGCCCACGCCGACCACCTCTGCGAACACAGCACGGCCAGGTCAGGCCCGGTGCCCTGGCCAGGGCAGCCTTCCACCGTGGACCTCACCCGACCCGGGAATCCGCCACCGTGGGGGAGGGGGGTCAGCAAAGGCAGGGACCCAACAGCGCTGGGGAGTGGACGGGACTTGAGCAGAGGGAGGGAGAGCCGGAGTTCCTTTGGAGCTTCAGCTGCAGCTCACTGAGTGACACCTGGTGCCAGCATCACAGGACTGAGCATCGCAGGGCCGGAGACCCAGGTGGCAGCCCCCTGTCCTGTCCTGAGCTCAAGGCACAAAGCCTGGTACCAACAAATATCACTAGGGCCATGGCTCTGAGTGGGGCAGACATGAAAAGCCAACCAGAACACTTGGAAACAAAGATTCCATTCATTCCCTGCTTGTTGATGGGGTGCTCCAGGCGCCGGAGATTCGGGAGTAAACAAAGCCACACTCGCCGACTGGTGGGAGGGCCAGCATCCGTGAAGCTGGGCGAATCTCCTTCGCCACCTCCTATCGCACCTCCGACTTGCAAGTCTCGGTGTGGCCTGGTGGTCTTCCTTCTTACTGAAGGACTTCCAGAAACTCAGGTCACCCTGCTCTGCCATCGGGCCGTCACTCCCCTCAACGACACCCCCAAAGGACGGTCAGCTGCACGGGAGCAGGGACGACGGGTTGGGCCTTGTTGGAGCCCCGCCATTGTTTCCCTGCACAAATGCCTCTGTGGATGGATGGACAGATGGATGGATGGATGGATGGATGGATGGATGGATGGATGGATGGGAGCCAGGGGAGCTGCTCTTGTGGATCACCTGACATCTCAAACACCTAAAGAGACAGGCATATTTGTCACTTTTTCCTTGGAAAGGGACCCATAAAATGTTGATCAGCCAGCCCTGAGTCACCAGCCTTCATTAGCTACGGTGCCGGGGTGCGAACTCCAGTTGTCCAGCTCCAAAGACTATGCTCGGTGGGTTTTCTCCTTCCTCGCTCTCCACACTGGGGTGTCTGAGCCTAGAACTGGGCCTGCCCCCTCTGAGGATGACCTCGGGCAGCGCTGAGGGGGTGTCGCCTAGGGAAAGTTAACGCACAGCAGCACAGCGGGGGACACGGCAGCCGATCCAGTCTGAGGCTTGAACGCGTTCCCTTGCTGACTTTCGACAACCACATGCAGTTGGTTTGGTCCAGCTCCCTCAGCAACGAGCCCAAGGTCACGTAGCCGGCAAGCGCCAGAGCCAGGATTCAAAACCCAAATTTGCCCGTCAAGTTCACGGTCCTCCAGCAGACCACACTGCCCTGGGCCTGCCCCCGCGGTGAAGAAGGCAGAATAGTGTTTATGCAACAGAAATAGCTGAAGAGGAGAATTCAGAGGCTGTTCTCTGCCCACAGAAGTATTTAGTTTGGCTCAGAGAATATTAAAAAAAAATTTTTTTTGAATGTGTTGCCAACATGTACAAATTATACCCAAATCTGGATTTTTTGGTTTTCTTGAAAACAGAGAGGAATGGCCAAGACCAGGCTCGCTTCTCTACCTGCCACCGTGGCTGGTGCCCAGGACCGGCCACCTCTCTAGCCAAAGCTTGCACTCCCCATTTCGCCAGACTCTGCACCATTCTCCTTCTAGGTTTCATGACCCACTGTGGCAAGTGCTCATTTTAATTACCTGCCTTGTCCTGAACTAGTTATGGGCTCCTCTCCAAGGACAGGCGTAGCCGGTCTGGGAACCGTCCTTCGGCCGAGCGGACCACTGGATGAGGAATTTGTCCTTCTCTCGCCCCCTGGCCTTGACCCGCGGTGTCTGCCTCTCTGTCACCGTCAGGCCCTGGGCTCTTCTTTCCTGAACGAGGGGCTCACAAACTCACACACTACGGCAATGTTTCTGGGAGGATGTTCAGTAGCATGCCAGCGAGTGTGTGTGTGTGCGAGTGCACACGTATGCATTAGATGTGGGTATCTGTGAGTGTGTGTGTGTCTGTGTGTGTGTGGCGGGGGGCAGGTCAAAACCAACAGGGACACAAGAGTTCACTGTGCAAAGAAGCTTGGAAAGAGAAGGCTGCTGATGACAGCTCCCCTTTGGGAACTGGACAGTGGACAGAAACACTCAAACCCCTGGAAGCTCTGTAACACCTTTCAACTTTATTTATACCAGCGTCTGCAGACCTTGGCGAGCGTGACACCTGTGAAACTCTCCTGCAGGCCACAGTCTTCCTCCCAAATGAAAGGAAGGAAGCATAAGAGGCGCGTGGTGAGCAGGAGCTGAGAGGCTACTGTGGCTGAAGTGGGACCTGAGACACAGAGGGGTGGGTGGGCTGGGGGGAGGGCGGTTTCCAGGCCCCCGGGGGGGGGGGCAGGCAGGGGAAGCGGTTCCAGCCTGCACAGGCTCTGAGATCATGAGGGCGTGTCTGCAAAGGCGTGGTGCCTGGCTCGTGCTAATATGTCAATGTAGCTTTAGAGATTGTTACAATCCCCGTGAACTGACTGACCCTTCCAGTGACCTTGAAGAACAGCTGCGGGAGGGGAAAGAGATGAGGAGACAGCCTCCTCGGCGGGCGGGGTTTCGAGTGCGGGGAGGCTGAGTCCAGCCATCTTATCTGGGTTTGGGGGGCGAGTGAGGCACTGATTCTGCACAGTAGCACCCTCCCCGCATCCATGGCTTTGTTCCCCTCGGTTCGGTCACCTGCGATCCACCGTGTCAGAAAATATTCCAGAAATAAACAATTCAGAAGTTTTAAATTGCGGGCTGTTCTGAATGATTTGATAAAATCCCACACCCTCCTGCTCTGTCCCACTCGGAAGGCGAGTAGCCCTTTGTCCAGCGTGTCCACTCTGTGGATGCCCCGCCCCTCACTCACTGCGCAGCTGGCTAGGGGATCAGATCAACTCTCACAGAGTCATGGGGCTTGTGTGTGAGTCACCCGTACTTCACTTCTAACACCTCATGCACTCAAGGCTCATTACGTACAGAACACAGTGATGACTGCTCTATCCGTTACCAGTCGTTATTGTTGGTCTCTTGCTGTGTCTAATGTATACATTCAACTTTACCGCAGGTGTGCAAATACAGGAAACACGGAGTATGTATAGGGTTCAGCACTATGTGTAGATTCAGACTTCTGCTGGGGGTCCTGGAACGCACCCTGCAGATAAGGGGGGGCTGCTATATGTCAGTCTCACACTCGGACACACCCAAATATCACCCGGGAAGCTTGTTAAAGGTGTGGCTTCCGTCCCCACTCCTGGCAGTGCGGTGGGCTTAGAGTAACACTTTTAACCAGCGCACTGGGAGAGTCTTTGCAGGCGGTGCTGTGAGTCCCGTTTGAACACACGGCTCTGGGGGGGGCGAGTGGTGAGCCTGAATACCAGGAATAACAGAAGAAGGACGGAGGATCCAGGTGGTTACTGGCAGAGCTGCAGACAGGTGACTTGCTGTGAAAGGGGAAGCACGCTCCAATGGGAAGAGAGCAGAAAGGGCTCGCAGGTTAACCCTGGGGGTCCGATAGCACTGTCCGACTGGGAGTTGTGTCCACAACTCACCAACAACCCTCAGGGGGACAGCGGGCTAACCGCGGATGAGAGACTGCGCTGTGTGCAGCTATGAAACCGGGAGTATGTACGGCCAGAGTTATGGTGAAGGCTCGATTCGTCACCGAAGAAAAACAGAGGCTCTTGGGTTTACGAGGCTTTGAGGGACTTTTCAGAGGTTGGGCTGCCGCGTCCTGACGCCTAGTCACCTCTCTGCATCGTGCTGGGTCATGCCTCCTGGGTGAACGCTTTGATGACTCAGGCCAGATGAATGCCAGTCAGACAGACGCAAGGGATCAGAAAGTGCCAGAAAGGAGGTCTTTGGGCACCAAAAGGGCCATGATGTGGCACTTGAAGAGAACAGTGTAAGTTGGGATGGCCGTGTAGACAAAAACATGACAACGTTGGAGACGGGGAGGTGCCAAGTGACACTGAGGAGCTGAGTCGTTAGCCCACCAGCTATCATATAAGATCGCTGATAGACATTTTAAGTCAACCAAGATAGAACAATTGATCTGTAGTGTGCAGTGACAACTACATACCCGAAGAAAGGGCTGAAAAGTTAAGTAACTATAGCAACTGGACATGGGTGGGAGCTGCGAAGAAATGATTGCAGGCTGCTGGCTTTCGTTCTTTCAAGACCACGGAATTTTTAAAGTGGGTACTATTTCAACTTACAGCATCACTAAACTAGCTGAAACTTGGCAGGGTCCTAGTGGCCCTGGGAGGCCGTGGGCACCCGGTGGGGGGTCCTGCCACTAAGAGAATGCTACCAGGCCCAGCCCTTCCTGGTAGCCCCTTTCCCCCTGACGTCTGCCATAGATGTGCCTCCAGGGCTGAGGAGAGAGCAGGAGGCCAGGTTCCGGAGGCAAGAGGAACGTAGGCATCTCCCCTTGTCCAGTAGGGCTCAGCCTCCGGCCTCTGATGATGGACAGGGGGTGGGGGAGTGGGGGCACCTCCTGCAGAGCAGGAGCCTGGCCAGAGGAAGGCTCCAGGTGAGGGGCCCTGGGCCAGAACTGGGGATGCAGGGGGGCCGGTGGCCAGAAGGGAGGGAAGGTGTCACTTACGTGCACACACTCCTATTGCGTACCTCGGGCGGTCCCCGCTGTAGTCGCAGTAGAGGCCCCGGTGGGGGTCGCAGGTGGCGGCCTCTGTGCAGTTGTCCCCGAGCTGCTGGGCGCACACCTTACAGCACTCGCAGCCATCGGTGACGAGGCTGACCCCCAGCGGGCAGCGGGGTGGGGACGGCGGGCACTCGCACGGCCACTTGCAGAACTGGGGGTGTGCAGACGTGTCCTCCAGGGGCGCCGGGGTGAAGGCCATGGCCGAGGGGGCTAGAGACAGGGCCTGTGGGGGGATGGAAGAGATGAAGGGGGACTGCCAGGCCAGGGTCAGAGCCCAAGGGGCCTGCCAGCATCTTTCCGCCTTCATGGTGTTCAAAAGGCTTACATGAAGTTTTATTTCTCCCACATGCGTTTAATGGTCCATCTCCTTTCTCCTCAAAAGAAGAAATAAGGCCAAGAGCCCGGAGTCCGGGGACGTGAAGCCAGTTGCCTGAATCCCCCTGCTGGTGGGCAGTGGGCCTGGACACTGCATCAGAGCCCCGGCCACCAAAGCCCCACGGCTGTGTCCTTCCCTCTGCCCTCCACCCTCCTCCTGGGGGCCGGTGAGTTGGCCTTGTGTGACAGATGTGGGGGCTGAGGCCCTGTTTCCTCCACAAAGGGTCCCTTGGAGCTCACAGGGACCCCAAACTCAGATTCGACACCTGGGTTCAGCCAGCCGACTTGTTACTACTACTGTTTTTTTAATTGTTATCATTATTTCCCGCCTGAGCACCAGGAAAGGACAGTGTACACAGGGGCTTCGAGCTGCCTCTACCTCTGGGGTCCAGTCCCCTTCCCGCCCCTCCCTGGACCACCACCCAGACCCCCACTCTTTTTTTTAATTTATTTTTTTATTGATTATGCCATTACAGTTGTTCTATTCCCCCCTTCATTCCCCTCCACCCTACCCCCCGTCCCCACCATTACCCCCCCTTTAGTTTATGACCACGTGTCTCAAGTTCTTTAGATTCTATATTTCCCATACTATTCTTGCCCCCCCCCCCATCTATTTTCTATCTACTGTCTATGCTACTTATTTTCTGTACCTTCTCTTCCTCCCACTTCCCTGTTGCTAACCCTCCTTGAGATCTTCATTTCTATGTTCCCACTCCTGATCTAGCTGTCCTTTTAGTTTGCTTTTGTTTTAGGTGTGGTTGTTAATAACTGTGAGTTTGTTGTCCTTTCACTGTTCATGTTTTTTTTAACTTTTTTCTTAGGTAAGTCCCTTTAACATTTCATATAATAAGGGCTTGGTGATGATGAACTCCTTGAATTTGATCTTATCTGAGAAGCACTTTATCTGTCCTTCCATTCTAAATGAAAGTTTTGCTGGATAGAGCAATCTTGGTTGTAGGTCTTTAGATTTCATGACTTGAAATACCTCTTTCCAGCCCCTTCTTGCCTGTAAGGTCTCTTTTGAGAAATCCGCTGACAGTCTGATGGGAACTCCTTTGTAGATGACTGTCCCCTTATCTCTTGATGCTTCTAGGATTCTCTCCTTCATTTTAATCTTGGCTAATATAATTATGATGTGCCTTGATGTATTTCTTCTTGGGTCCAACTTCTTTGGGACTCTCTGAGCTTCCTGGATTTCCTGGAAGTCTATTTTCTTTGCCAAATTGGGGAAATTCTCCTTTATTATTTGTTCAAATAAGTTTTCCACTGGTGGCTGTTGCTTTCCCCCTTTTTGTACCCCCATAATTCGAATGTTGGAGTGTTTAAAGATGTACTGGAGGTTCCTAAGGCTCTCCTCATTTCTTCGAATTCTTGCTTCTTCACTCTTTTCTATTTGGCCATTATTTGCTTTCTTCTGGTCCACTCCATTGATTTGAGTCCCAGTTTCCTTTTCATCGCTCTTGGTTTCCTGTGCAATTCCATTCATTTCAATTAGTTTCGCCTTCATATGTTTCTCTAAGTTGTGGCTATAATCAACCAGTTTTGTGAGGATCCTGATGACCAGTGTTTTAAACTGTGTGTCTGAGAGTTTTGCTATTTCTTCATCACTTAGATTTATAGGCTCTGGGGCTTTGAGATCTTCTTGAGCCATTTTTGGTCTGTTTGCACTCGTTAAGTATGAGGAGCAGAGCCTTGGACTCCCAGGTCGCTGGGTTGTGATGCTGTATGTGGGGGCGTGGTCAGAGCGGGGGAAATGGCGGCCCCTCTGCTGTTTCATGCCACTGGGTGAGGAGCAGAGCCTTAGGTGGTTCACCAGGGCCAGGCCACTCAGAGTCGCTGGGTTATGACGCTGTATGTGGAGGTGGGGTCAGAGCGGGGAAATGGCGGCACCCTCCGCTGCCACTCGCCGTGGGGACCCGCTGGGTCCCGGTCCAATCGCCCACTTCCCTGCCTGTCCATCCGCGCACGAATGTGCGACCACAGTCAACCCGCAGCCCTGTTCCCTCGCTGCCTCCCCCCGCCGCCCCCCCCACCGGTCGCCTCTCACTAGGTCCAACCCTGAGCCTGGACTCCATGTGCCCGAGTCCATCTGACCGAGCCCTCCCGTGCCACCCCGCTGCGCCAGCTGCTAGCCCCGCCCCCCACTGGTCAGGCTGAAGAACCCGTTGTCAACAGACCCCCGAAAAGTTCAACCCTCTGTGTTCTGGCTGTGTTCTCCACCGCCAATACCTAGTCGTCTCCAAACCTGGCCGCGTGAGAAGGCACGGCGTCTCCATCCATGCCTCCATCCTGGCGGAAGTCCCAGACCCCCACTCTTTACACAGGAGGAACCGGGGCCCACGAGAGTCAGCAGCACACAGAGAGTGGACCTTCGGCCCGCCTTCTGGGCCAGTGTGGTCCCTGCGGGGAGGCACCCAGTCCGGGCATCTCACCCATGACTCCAGAGTCTGAGGTGGGCAGAGGCACCCAGGCGCAGGTGGGCCCCAGGCCGCCCCCTGCATCTGAAACCAGAGGAGCCCTCACGGTGGGATTTGCAGATCTGCACGTCATTGCTGAACCACAGAGGCCGAGACACTCAGTCTTCTCCCTTCGCCGAGCAGGAAACTGAGCCCCAAAGAGGTGGAAGGACAGGTCCAGGGCCACACGGCCACACGGCCACATGGCCCCCGTCTGGGCCCAGGCGCAAACGACTCTCTCTGCTCTGTTTCCACCCCCTCCGCCTCCTCTGGGCTCTTTCAGTCACTCAGCAAACACCTGCAGAGCTCGCTCTTAGTCTCTCTCAGGTCGTCAGCATTTTCAGAGAAAGGGGAACATCTCCTGTGCCCAGGGGACCCGCAGCGGATAGGAGAGACAGACGGGGGTGATTTGTCACAACGTGGGGCTGTGTGTGGGGGGCTGTGTCCTGGCTGGGATGCTGGTCTGCTGGACTCCGGTTCTGAGCCCAGTGTGTGGTCAGTGTGATAAATCCCTTCCGCCAGGGAAGGACCCATGAAAGTCAAAAAGGCAAGCCCTGCCTGGAGGTCCAGTCACCTCCGGGCTTGGTGTCAGACACATCTGCTGGGGCGGAGCACACTGCTCTGGGGTGACCAGGGCCGGTCCATCTTCACCTGGGATGCAGGTATCTACCTGCCTCATTCACTTTTCCTCGAAAGCACTGTATGACCACAGACCCCCAAGTCATTGAATGCAACCCCACACACGCATGAGCACCTCTCTCCTACCGACCGACACCGTAAGGGGAGAAGAGGCTTCCCTGCCGTGCTGGGGGCGGGGGGTGGAGCACAGCCTCCCGCACTGGCGGATGGCGAGCAGATCCTTATTCTCTACTCAAGAAGAGAGCGTGAGGCCTGCGACAGAGGGGCCCTCTCGGTGGGCCTTGCACGAGCTTCCTAACTGTCCCAAGCCTCAGCACCCCCATGTGTGATGTGGTCACAGTAATGCCCCCCAGAAGCCACTGGGGGGTAGAGGGTCACAGCATGTGCAGCTGTACTTGTGCAGGGGCTGGCGTGGGGCACTCAAGAGCATGACGTCCCCTCCCTGCCCCCTGTCCCCAGAATGCCCCCCAAACACTCGAGGTCTGGACACTGGAGCTGAGCTGGGGAGCTGTAACCTGGTGGGGCTAGTCTCCACACGGTCACTGTCCAGCTTGCTGTCTCCATACCAAGTTAAAGATCCCGGGAAGGAAGCGGCAGAGAGGCCCCCTGGATGGGCTCCGGGTCCTCTGTGCCAAGCCCTGGCTGTTGGCGCCATCTAGTGGTCTAAGACCTCCCAGAGTAACGTGCACACTCACACACACAGAGTGGCTCAGCACGTCCACTAGCCTTTTGCCCTAGTACCTGGACCGTTGTCATAAAAATACAGACTCTGTTTTCGTCCTCAAAGGAGCAGGAGAAGCGTATCGGCCCAAGAACAAGAGGTGCCCGGTGTGTGCACTGACACCCCCCTGAGAAGTGACCCAGACCCTGGTCCCAGCTCGCTGGCCCTGCACGCCTGGAGGCCAGCCACCAGCATGGCTGTCATCAGCCCAGCTGTAGAGCCCGTCCCCTCTGTGGGTGGCAGGAGGCACTGTTGGAGCGCATACCTGTGCTGGCCTAGAATGGACAGTCTTGGGTCATCTGGGGAGGGTGTCTCCAGTCACTCAGAGCCCCTGCTGGTGCTTGCACAGAAAGACATGGCCATCGAGCTCACGTCTTCTGCCACGGCCTTTGCTCCGGTGACCACGAGAATGTATCTCTTGAGATTCTCTGCATTCAGCCCAAAGCAACAAACCTGTTCTTATTTTATGGGTGAAAGCCATGAAGCACAGAGGCTCATGCAGGTAGGCGGGGACACAAGAAGATTTGGAGAGGGCTCTGTGTCACCAGCAGCTGTAGGCGAGGTGCCAGTGCCCTGGGGGCACCCTGGCGCTCTCATCAGCCTCCTGCTTTCTTTGAATTAGAGCCTGTCCCAGCTTTGCCAGGCCCAACAGGAGCAGATGGTGAAGCCGGAACCTCCCCAGGCAGCCCCGATGGCTGTCCTTTCACCCACAGACAGCTGCCCAACCGGGGCCAGCTGCACCCATTATACAGAGGGAGAAACTGACCGTGGCCAGCTCGGGGCCACACGGGCCTGCACTGTTTTCATCTCACGGCAGACGTGAAGAGGGACACGAGGTGAAGGCAAAGAAAACATTGTCCCAGGAAGGCCAGAGAGACTGGAGCCCAGCCTTGGGTCCGTCCAAATTGCAGGTGGTCACATCAAAGTCTCTTTGGTGATGCCCCTTCTGCAGATGGACTTCTGCAGATGACACTGTGTTTACAAGGAAGACAGGAAGGAGGAGGCAATGCTGAGATGTGTCACCGGCAGCGC